AGAATGTCGAATACCTGTTTTGCATTTAGTCGTAGATTAAAATGATGTTAACAATACAGACAACTACAAATGATCACAGTTGGAGGCAGGGTGAGATAAGAGAAATTTTTTGAAGTTTCAATTTAAAACGTCATACGCACATAAAATATATTTTATGAAGAACAAGAAAATAGTCTGTTATATTCAGTCATGAGTATAATAGTCAGTTATGATAATACAATACAATAAAATGTAAAGAAATGTTGATGATGTTGGACAATGTTGGATAAAGTTCAAAATTCTTCAAACTGATCTACATATGCAAAAACTATAGTTAACCGCTCCTGAATTTATATTATTATTTGGATTGGATTTTCTTCACATTATCGTTTTAGCTCTTCAGGACAACAAGTTATACTTGCAATATTCACGTAAGTGAAATGACAAAAGCTTGATTTGGAATTTTCAAAAGTGGGAAACAAATTTGATTATACCACATTAAATTATGTAAGATAATAACATACATAACTGAATAATAATAAGGGGAATAAATGATTTTATAAATTCCTTTGGGTATATTTGGAATATTTAACAAACCAGTAACTTTGAGTCTTAGACTAAGTTTATTTTTCAAAATTGAAATTGAAATTCATCATTGGGAATCTTCAACACTTGCACCGTTTTGATGAAGTCAATGTCTACCAAGAGCAAGACAGTATGCATTTTCTACTTGATTAATACAAAGCAATCAGTTCCGATACTATTGGCATCTAAAGATATCCTGGCCTTTCCACATCTCGTTTTAAGAAAGAAGCAGTTGAAATAAAATCTCAACTGCATGTTGAAAGCTGCATTGATAATATTTTAAAGATGCATAACTGTATCAAATAACTGTAAATCATAAAAATAAGACGTTGAATAAACGCAATTTATATTGTCATGCGTGACTAATATAAACACATACTTTACAACAACCCCCTCGATCCTACCCTACAGTATTTGCACGCACTGATAAAATTGGCATTCTGTAAAAGAACTGAACTTGTCAGGTAAATATTTTGTAATTGCAGGCAAATCCGGATGATCTATGATTTACTGAAGTGTCTGACATAGGACAATTGTCAGTAGCTCGATCAGTGTCACTTCTAGCCATTTAATTAATACCTTTCGTCATAGGCAACAACATACGCTAATTTATAAAACTCTCTCGGTTCTCCTACCATCTATAAATTAACTCTACATATATGTAAAAACGCAGCTATATGTAAACACAAATTTCAAAACAATTGTCTTAGTCTGCATAGTTTAATATTTTTTTCTATACTTTCTTCTTGATGAGTGAAAAATCAGTAAGTTTTAACAAAAATATAATTTGAAGGTTTATTCGTGTCGAGATAAATAACGATGATAATTACAGACATGTTTTTAGCGATAGAATCAAACGTCTGACGCAATGAACTTTCCCAACATGCTATTAAATGCATTGAAATAATTCACAAATTTAATCTAGTGTTTTATAAGCATACCATTCTTTAAACATGACAGGAATACAACAAAAATAGGTCTGCAAATCTTGCTAATGATTATCTCATCCTGATTATCAAATTTGACTTCTTTGCCGTTTAGTTTACGTCTGATAGAACCATGAAAATAATAAAAATGATATGCACTTTGTCACATACATATTTGTTCAAAAAATTAAAAAATTTCAAAAGATCACAGCTGGAAATAATCTTTGGGGGATAGACTTGAGAAATTTTGCAAAGGTTGAAATGTAAAACGTAAATAAGTACAAGCCTGTAAATTATCTGCACATTTGAGGAAACACAACTTTAAAGTTAGTTTTACAAAGCATGACTCACCGGAAATGTAGGCCATGCATCGAAACCATTGATTGAAACACAAGCGAACATACTTCATTTTCTCGTTCTTTCACCAGCCATGTTTTATCTCTTGATTGCTACTTATGTTTGAAACAGATACCGCTGTCATTGAGAGCCCACGATGAGCTAGCAGTGTCTTTATTCTTTTTAATATTCTTGTGAACGTTGATCATAGAGAAATGCAAAACATTTTAAATTAAGAATTTGCAAAAACAACAAATTTATTTCAATCACACAGATAAGTACCTTCATTGATTCAGACGTTTCCTCAAATGATATACAACAATCAGTACTACAGTAGAGCCACGAGAACTCCAACTGGCTCCTTTAACTCGAACCTTAATTCCACTAACTCGAAGTCAATTCCTCCTGGATTTGCTACTTGCTTGTACATTACACATGATGCATGAAAAAAACTGTTTCTCTTTGAGATCAACAGACATTGCTGCACATATATTAATCTACTTCTTGCTAACTCGAACGAATTTCACTTTGCCTTGGTTAAATTTTCTTATGGTTAAATTCCAAACGCTATGGTGGGTAAATCTCAAAGGCGTAAATTTTGCACGTGGAAAGTGTAAATTTGAACAACAAGAAATTAAGCCATTTATACATCAATATAGCTTACTTAACTGAAAACAGCGAACATTAACTGATTATAGCCTAGTACAAATGTTGTAAAGTGTATTTGATTAATTTGAACATATTTATACTAAATTTGATTGGCAGAAAAGTTAGCTACTGAAACTTCAAAAAATAGCTATTGGTTATGTGTTCCTACAATGTATGCTGTATAAAGACTGTTGTGTTGATGGTAGCAAGGGTATTTTATCATTAATCTCCCAGACAATACTATTGATCACATATAAATTCGTGACTTGTAACTTCATAACACAAACTTGTCTCTCGATACTGGTATATTTAATACCTATGAAATGTGATACCTTTACAAATGAGTTTTTTCATCTTCTTGATTCTAGTTTTAAGAAAAGGTTGTTCAACATATTTTCACAGAACTTAAAGTAACTTTCATATTTCACATTATAATATCCTCGCTTCCACTTAGAAGAATTTTCTTCGACATTTAATTGTTATATATGTCTTATTGACACAATTTACATAACTGTTTATGTCACATATATAACAGTTTTCTGAACGCTTATAAACTTTAACTAATGTAAAGTTGCGACTTGCACCTTAGCATCTGAATTAATGCAATTACAAGCAGAAATGTTTCAACCACTATCATTGGTACCAGACCGTAATAAAATCAATTTCACTACAAAAAAATACAAAGTGCAACAGTTGCAAATGAAGGGTTCTAGGTTTCAGTTCAATTCAACAATATAGCTTTTATTGATTTTCTCAAGAAAAATGTTATTCGAAAGAAGGATAAATCATCATTTGTTTGTCGCTTAGACACAAACAAAAAATTTAACTTTTTTTGGCAAGTCTTAACTTTTGCCTATCGCTAACCGTACGACACGTTTTGATAGTTTCCTCTATCTTGAAGAGTAATTCAATCTTCATAACGAATGAAAGTCACTCGAAAAAACTGACAAATGCTATACGTTTATCATGCAGGATGTTATGATTAGTCAATACACCCCCAGACCTCCTAGATTGCTACTCACTCTTACATTCAGACCTTTGCACGAAGCTCGTAAAAACCAAGATTGCTACTCACTCTTACATTCAGACCTTTGCACGAAGCTCGTAAAAACCAATTTTGCTACTCACTCTTACATTCAGACCTTTGCACGAAGCTCGTAAAAACCAAGATTGCTACTCACTCTTACATTCAGACCTTTGCACGAAGCTCGTAAAAACCAAGATTGCTACTCACTCTTACATTCAGACCTTTGCACGAAGCTCGTAAAAACCAAGATTGCTACTCACTCTTACATTCAGACCTTTGCACGAAGCTCGTAAAAACAGGACTAACTTAAACGACTCTTGCTAGTATAAAGAAAAAAATGACTACATGGACATCAGAAAGGCACCATATAAAATTCTCTAAATACACATTTGTCGCATATTTATCGATAGGATTGTTGAATATTTTATATTTTCACGGAATTACTCTAATAAAAACGCATTCGGAAGGGACGTTCACCAGAGGGAAACGCGTAATTGAGGCTAGGCGTGTATTAGAGGAATACGTTAACCCTTCTTATTAGAATAATCGACTTTTATTTACTGTTACAAAGTGGATTCTCATCAATTTACATCATTTTACCAATTCCTAAAATAATATATGCTAAGTCGTAGACAAGAGTTATATTTTGAGAGTGATTAACTTCCAGTGAGCATTAGTTTGTTGTAACTTTATTTACCATCAAGATCAAGATTGTCCATGACCTCTTTGCTTTTCTTTCCACTAACTTCTTCAACTTTCAAATGATGTTCAATATCTAAAAAATGTTCACAACGGTATTGTCACTATTATGTACAGCTTAAAGTGTAGAGAGTCGAGAGAGAAAACATTATAGAGTGTTAAAAACACACTAAATAAAAATACAACCAAAAAAGAGAGTTGGCAGAGTAAGAAAACAATTGTTTTATAGCCAAATTTGTTAGTTTACCGTAAAAGATTGAGTGAGCATCAAAATTAAATCGGGAATATATATATCATCATGGAAGCCTATTTCAGTAATGTCTTTGAAAAAGGAAAATTATGTTTATGGCTTACAGGTAAAATGTTTCTTGAGATCAGGTCTTGTTTTCCAGTCAGTTGACCTTATGATTTTATGCACACGAAGAGGAAGATCGGGAAAATGTTGCAAAAAGTACTTTTTATAGTTTCCTTCTTTGACATATGGCGATAGATGTGTACGAGATTTATCGTTCCAATGCTCATTCACGTTTCTAATGAATCTTAAACAACTTGCCCATGTAGGCTTGTAAGTGAAAGTTTTCTTTTTGCCATTTGTTTTAAAGGTTTAGAAATCTTCTAATACTTCATCGTCGATAAGCTCCATCCATTTCGAATGGCAATCCAATTGTTTATTGCGAATTTTGACCTTTTGATGGTTTTATCTCTGGTTGGTTCCCAACATCACACAGCATGTCAAACTTCTCCTTATCGGATTGTAAATAAGGATGTTTTAACGCCTCGTTGGCTGATGGCCTGTCTTCTGGTTTTAGTTGTAGCATCCATAACAAAAGGTCTAGGAAAGCAGCATCCTTTATTTCGTCCAAGCCAACATGATTTCCATGTAACAAGTTTTGAAGTCTACAGTCTTCAGTCCCAAAAGGATGCTTCCCTTTTGTTGCAACATAATAAGCCAACATTCCTGCGTTCTAAATCGATCAAACAGAATAGCGTGAATAAACTGTCAAGAATTTAATTTATGTGCCATTTACTAAAGGATACATTTCTACACGTACCATTACATCTGACTATTTTTTTGTAACGTGCTTTATCAACGGAATCTTCATCTTTACAATATGATTCAGGAGTTCCCTTTTTGGAGCTAGTATGATATGTCTTACGGCCACCCTTCAATTCTCGACTTATACCAAAGTCAGCAATCAGAAATTTACTATGTGCGTCTCGGAGAACATTGGAAGGCTTTAAATCCCGATGAAGAATAGGACAAGGGCCGCAGTGAAGATCAGCTAATCCTTTTAACATTTGTCTGAGAATTTCGGGAAAAGATTTTTGAAGATCTTGCAATGTAGAAGATTCCACAAAACTCTCCAACGATTCTTCACATAGGTCTAGTATCAAATAGACATAGTCTGTTCCAGTGTCCTCTTCTAAGTAGTAATATTTCACAACATATTTCGACTCTTTTGCGTTGAATTTGTTCAAGATTTCCTTTTCTTTCTGGGCAATCGTGATGCAGTTATCTCGACGTATTCGTTTTACTGCTCTGCCGTAACCATCCTTTTTCAGTCCCAGATAAACACGGGTTCCATCACTTCCTCTACCGATGCAAAACTCCTCAGAGATTATCAAACGTACATTGTCTACATGCTTGACCTCGACATTGGGATTTCGTCCATACTTGATCAATTTTAAGAACAATTCTTTATGTTTAACAGATTCACCAATGTATTCCCACTCTGATGACAGCAATTAATAAAATGATAAAAGTACAAAATTAAAGTTAAGTAAAACGGAAACAATCAATGAACAGATTACTAAAAAGCTTTCTCATTAGTGCAAACTCTCTACCTTTTTCGTTCTTTTTCTTAATGATTTCTTGCAACTTGGCTTCCATCGAATTTCTTAAGTAATAACGCTCTTCTTCATCGTATATTTGCACAAGACGCTCCATGACGTTCTTTTGGTTTTCTATATCTTCATCTTTTGTGACCATCTCCAGATATGTTTCATATATAAATGTTGCATCTCCCCATTGTTCAAGTTTATCAAACAACTCCGCTAGTTCCCATAAAACAGCCAACACTCCATTCACAATTCCAGCTGAAGTAACAATTGACAAGTTCTTCATGTTAAGGTTGACGAAATCTTTACTAACGTTGATACCACCAACTTTTCTTTGTCGTTGTGGTCGATGATGCTGTTCATGTTGTTGCTGTTGAGATTCAATAAGAGAAAATCCTTTTCTATAATGCTCCAAAGATTGCTTATAATTTTTAAGCAACTTATTCAATCCTCCCAATGCAATATGGCAGAGACATTCCATTTCATCTTTCTTCATTGCGTCCTCCAATCTTTTCATGGTAGAATGAACACTCCCCAGGCCAAGGTATACTTGATGTTCAAAATATTCACTTTCAACTTTACACGAAAACTTTAAGCAATGATTAAAACTGTTCAATCCTTCCTCCCAATTATCACAGAGGGTGTAAGCGTTACCAAGACCAAAATAAACCATCATTTTGACGTTATTCTCTTCGGCATTTTCCAAACATCTTTTGTAGTTTTCAACTGCTGTTCCATAATCACCATTATTCATACTAACATTTTCTTCTTTAAAAAATGACAAAGCTTCTGCTTGACTGCTGTATGAGTGTGATTTCTTCTTAGAATAATGCACAGATTTATCTGAGCTCTCAGTTGTTGGTTCCATATTGCTTCTAGTTGCCTCTGTAGAACTTTCCATTTCTGTTGTCTAGTTAAATTCGGGAAATTTACCTGTTGAGTTTGACTATTATTATCAATTATTAGTTAGATGTTAAAAGCAAATGATCCTTGTAACATTAAAATATATTTGCATGCGCTAAATATCAAAGATTTACTGGCCAATACAATTCTTTCTAATCTTTTGCACCAGAAACTTCGCAAAATTTGTGTTTACTCTGCAAATTTGCATAAATATCAGTAAAATAGGTTTAACGCACTACATACAATACTAAAAAAAAGGCGTTTCAATTTTCAATGAACATTTAAAACGACTTATTTTCTTCAAACATTTGCTTATCTTTATTTATCTTATTCTGTATGTAAACTATTCCAGAACCTTCAAAATTTGATAAATATACCATCTTTGATTAACAACTTTTAATTTGTTGACGAATCATATTAATTTCTAGCCTAAATGCAAAGTAAATTACTGTTCACTAAACCAAACTTCTGAATCAACCAATACAAAAAATTTGGTCCAATTTAAGAGCAGTGTACAATCAGCGTGAAAAAAATTGCTTGCGTGTCAACTTCCACCCACCAGTATATATTTATACTGTCGCCTTTAGCTTTAACCTGAGAAAGTATGAATGAGATCGACCCAAGCAGAAACGTGAATAATCTAAACTTGTAAATAACCATGTTCTAAGATTTCCATAGACACATAACTTTATTACTGGTTGGTAATATCAGCGAAAACCTTAAAGTGTATAGAAACGTTTTACTCGGTATGTTTATCGCTTCCACATTTTTTTCTGATTTAGCTACGTTTATGGCGGAAAATATCTCCACCGCTAATGATGTAGATGGTTCGAAGATTGAAGGCAACTACGACATATAGAAAGAAGATGAAACATTTCATTAAACATTTTACTTATATTCAACTCAGTAACATCTTGACGTGTACCTAGCATTTAATAGTCTAGTGTATATAATACAATACAACTTAGTCCGAAAAACTTACAATTAATTTGACGAGCTTTGAGTGTTTAACAAGATGACAAACTTTGATATTGTCGTCATTTTTGTACGCCTCAGATTATAACCATCAAACTGTGTCGAATACCTGTTTTGCAATATCATCTATTTAAAAAGATCACAGCAGGAAGTACACAGATAAAAAGATTCTTTGAGTATTATCTCCGCGCGCTGCGTAGTGTGAAGAAATTTACAAGTATTATTGTCGGAATAGAAAAAGCTAGAATCCCAATGCAAAAAAGCATAATATATCTTATATGAGATGTTTTCAAACTTTGTTTAGAACGCAGGAACACAAAACAGAAAAGAAAATTTTCTCATACATTTTAACAGTAAGAATCATTAGTTCGTTATAAGTTATAACATACTTTCAACATATTGAAGACGCTGTATTTTTTAGTTACTTTAACTGCATGTAGCTAGAGTGCTCAGTTCCTAATTTTAAGAACGAATAAATGCTTTCAAATATTATGCTATTTCAATAATTTCACTGTTGTTAGAAGAGCAAGGAAGGTGTGTTATGTACTGCAGCAATTCTGACTAACTTTGTAAACTTTTCTATCAATTTTACTATTTGTTATTTATTTTATGAAAGTTTAATTATCAAATGGTACATTAGGTTAACCAGAAACTCCAACTTTGCTGCAATAAAAAAAAAACGTTTACAAATAATTGCTGCAAGCAAAGCAGAGAGCTTCTATATTCTTATGTATGTACGATATCAAGATTTTTATGGTATGTACAACCAGCAAAACATTATGAACGACGTCATGTTAAATTTTGCGCCATTCATCAAGGTGATGAAATGTACAGATGATATGTACAGGCACTTCGTTTTCTATTAGATATTTTTAGTTAAGAAAAAAGAAATTTTGAACAGTATTGTAACAAATCAAACGAAATAGACTAACCAACGGTAAGACAAATGAAAAACCTCTTCAGACTATACATTTCATAGATCAAGTTCAAACATATCTAATAGTTTGTTTTAACAATGGCATTTAGACATATTCGGATGTTCAACAAATTAACGAAAATTTGCATGTGAAATATGAGAAATATTTTATCAACAGCTGGTTAGTATCTATTTTTTATAGGAAATGAATAGTGACATAGGATCTTTTACAGTTACTTGCTAATAAACCACTGTAAAATATTTTATAAAAATAAATAGCACAAACAAAACGTAGTTATTTTTTAGTAATTACTTTATACTTACAAGCGTTGGTCGGTGGTCTACTGATTTCAAATGGCAGTACTAATCAGTAATAGTCGTACTAACTAAGTATTAAAATCCCAATAAGAAGCAGGCACAAGAATATTATACGATAAAAGCGCAGTCTATTTCAAGTATTTATATCGGCTGTCCTGCTCATTTCAAAGGGCAGGAGTGAACACGACTAGCGTGCGATAACAGTAATAGCTCCAGAAACGCGAGTCAAGTAAGAGAGGAAGGGCATTAAAAACATTTGGTTGTTAAGAGACTCACAATTTTTGAAATTGTCTTTTAAAACTGCTAAAAATGAATGACTAGTGTTGTACATAGAAATGGAGAGAATGGATAATACCAGTGTTAGCTTTTAACTTTAGTAGTTGGTTGGCGGTAAACATTGCTTGTGACACAAACCACAAAAATACAAATTTAGAACTCTTACAATGGTGAAAATTAAAAATGCACTTTTTGATGTCAACTACGACTCCAATATGATTATTATAGCGATAAAACATTAATTTTAGAGAAAAGTATGAGTAAATACGATATATAGCAACAATTAAAACACAACTGATCAAAGTTACACAATTGTGGCATAGCAACTTGCTAAAAAATATGACGCTTTCTTCACGTTTCATAAACTTTACAATTTTTTTGGTATTTCATGGGCTTTGTCACTACAGTGTAGACACTCACGTATGTTCTGTTTTGTCATATTAAACTAACAAACTAATATAAATGACATCAAATCGCGAGTATTTTATGTTCCCACAGGCTCACTACAATTTTATTGTGTTGCTGATGTATTTTGAATTTTACTAAAAATGTTCAGAACTACAATTAATGTTGCGATTTAACTGGGAAACTTACTTTTTAATGCGACTTTTCTCTAAAACTCTCTTCCTCTCAAACGAGATAAAATCTCTATTGGCAGGATCTATGAGCCAATGTTTGCAGGTAAATCCATAACGAACGTCAAGACTACCAATCAAATTCCCTGAAATAAAAAATTCGATAAAACATTGTAAAAGTCATATGATATTCAAAACTGCCATGCAGCTGCCTCGTATGATCGTTTAGCATTTTTTGTGGATGAAGCAGCAAATTGATAAACTGAATGATCAGTTTCTGCAGACAGAAATTCGTTTTCAGGAAGAACATAATTAGAAATGTTGACAACAAACAGAATTTTGATCGAAAAATCTCTTAACAACATAGAAACAATACCCAACTGCGACTTGGGAACGCTATGTATCATAAACGAGAATCAAAACTTTACATACGTTTAGCAAATCCATACGCTCTAAGTACCCAAGTAACACGGAAAATCGGAAAGAATTGAAGCCACGTTGAATAGTGGAATGCCAACTTCTTGTTCGGACCAGCAACTCCATATGCTTAAAGCAGCCATGTAATACTAGAAAAATAACAAGAATCTAAACCATGCTAAATTTTTTGGAAAACAATTTTCAACTAGTGGAAACAAACTCTAAAGCTTAATTCCCATTTTGTACTAAAAATTACTTATAACTTTAACAAGTCAGACTTTTCCTCCCTTCTACATTTAGAACGGTTCCCTTTTTTAACATTGCACACTGCACTTACAGTGACTGCACAGTTGCTCCAAGTGAAACTTTTTCTCTAAATATAACGTGCTGCAATATAACATAACTTCTTTGCATGTACAGTATTGCTGCATTGACGCATTTTTATCGTTCAATGCAGTTGAAGATTGCCTTCACAACTTTGCTTTTTTCTTCCATGGTAAAGTTCAATTGCCACTGCAGTCCCAGTAGACGATACATTTTTTTGTCAAGCATGCATACATGTTGAAAAAACACAACAACTTGAACTATCTTTTCGAAAGCTAATCAAAATTTGTTCTGTGGAAGGATTAGGAAGGAGAATCGCGAATTGTTAACCATGCGTAAATGTTGTGTTGTGCTTTTATTCAACAAAATTTTATGTTCTTATATTATACCGTCAAGCTGTTGTGTCTTGACTCCTTTCATAGCTTGTAGTTCTAAATTACATCAGAAACCATATAACATTAGTTGGACTCAACTCATCTGTTCAAGATTAAAATGAACACCAATTTGTACACCAAACCATGCAAAGTAAACCCCTACATACACATCAAACCATGCAAAGTGTACCCCTACATACACATCAAACCATGCAAAGTGTACCCCTACATACACATCATACCATGCAAAGTGTACCCCTACATACACAACAAACCATGCAAAGTGTACCCCTACATACACAACAAACCATGCAAAGTGTACCCCTACATACACATCAAACCATGCAAAGTAGACCCCTACATACACAACAAACCATGCAAAGTGTACCCCTACATACACATCAAACCATGTAAACTGTCCCTACCTCTCCATGTACATCCAGTCTACCGACTTTCAATCTCAAAGCGACAAATGAATATATTTTGAAGGTTAACTAAAGAAAAGAATGCTACTAATGAAAGAAGGCGAAAGGGAGACGAGTTTCACAAATTTACGATGGTACTGTTGCACGATGTTGCATGTTTATGATTAAAGAGTATTGATAAATAAATCATGTCTGAAGGAAGTTATGTTAACTTTGTATTATAGAGAACATTTGGTTTGGGAATTATTTTAGTATATCATCCAATCATAACTGGTTTTATATACGTTACTCAGTAAAAAACCACTTACGAATTCAGTTGGAATTCACTTTCGAAGGTGGAACATCGCTTTTTAAAGATATCTGAAATATAAACAGTGGAAATTAGACAAAAGGAAAGAAATTAAAAGATTATGGAGATATACATTAATTCTTTTCATAAAAAAAAAAACAAGAAAAATAAACAAAGATTATGATAAGAAGCAATAAACTACAGAAAACCAACATACAGCAAGAATTTGACGACAAGTAACATAAGACGAAATGAAACAAGAGCAGTTTCATAAAAAGATCAGAGCGATTCTCACATCACCACATTGTTTAACTATGGTAGGAAATCAGATCTTTAAAGGTGAATACCAAAGTGGAAGGGGGATAGTACCAATTATAAAAAAAGAGAATACAATTTAAGAATATAACTACAGTTATAGCCACCTGTGAAGATCGACCTTACTTTGTGACCAAGGAATGGTTACTGGCAAGATCGACCTTACTTTGTGACCAAGGAATGGTTACTGGGAAGATCGACCTTACTTTGACCAAGGAATGGTTACTGGGAAGATCGACCTTACTTTGTGACCAAGGAATGGCTACTGTGAAGATCGACCTTACTTTGTGACCAAGGAATGGTTACTGGGAAGATCGACCTTACTTTGTGACCAAGGAATGGTTACTGTGAAGATCGACCTTACTTTGTGACCAAGGAATGGTTACTGGGAAGATCGACCTACTTGTGACCAAGGAATGGTTACTGGGAAGATCGACCTTACTTTGTGACCAAGGAATGGTTACTGGCAAGATCGACCTTACTTTACTTCGTGAGCAAAAATGTTGTGAAGAGAGATCTTGCTCTGCATGCAAAAAGTTTGAAAATATTTTCTTGAAAAACATGGCAAGACTTCTGTAAATCAACTGAGACGGGCAAAAATTAAAAGAAAAACAAGTTTTACTTACATTTCCTTTGATGTTAGGTGGAGGTGTCTGAGATTGTATTTTACCGATCTAAAATTGTTTAACGTAAAGTTAAATTCACATAACCACGTGATCGTGACAATTTCCTCATGAACCTACCTCCCATGAAAGCTCTTTTTTGATTGGATCAAATGAATAGGTACCAACTGAAAACATGGAACACAAGTCATAAATGTTGATGAGAAACGTCAATGAAGAGCAATGAAACATCAAACTGTAATGTTTAATATTTTATGAGTGTTTTTACCGTTTGTAGTCAAGTTAAGGTTGAGAACTTGTTTAGGAAATGGAACAGTCACGACAACATTCTCGATCTAAATAAAAGAGGGAAACAATGAGTGAAAAGACTTTGAAAAAGTTAATGTATACAATATTTGACTTGGTATGATTACGTTAGGACGATGTAGTTAGTTTTATACAAAATGCTTTGAGATAATACGTATGAAAAAAATGGACTAGTTTAGGTTATATTTTTAAGTTTATAAATGCAAGAAGATGCAACAGCAGTTTAATAAATTGACATGATTATATATATATACATTTTTACCCATAACTGGTTTTGAACTCATCGACAATTCAAATCTTCCACTTCCACCCTGAAACAATCAAGTAAAAGACGATCATCGAATCAATGTTTTGATTCGCAGAAAAATCAAACACTTTAATTTATTTCAATCAATAAAAAATATTTTAAAACAATTTCAACAGTTGATAAACCTCTTGAAACAAGACACGAGGCTTTGCAAACAATGGTAGCATATTTACTCTAAACAAAAAACAAAAAATACTATCAAAATAGACAATTTCATCATGAAAATATAACTGCTAAAACACCCACCCGGTTGCCACGTTATATGATATTAAACGAAAACGACCATCCAGGGGGACGAATGACAAAATTCGTTCAGACGAAAATACACAGACATTTGAAGTAGTCGGGTTCAAACGCAGTTTTAGTGCATGATTGAAAGAAAAGTGTTCAATGTAAAAAGAAAATTGTTATTAGTCATATGAAGAATAATTTGTCTCCACTTTGATCAGAGACAATCCATATTCAACATTCACACTTACGTACCTCCCATCTTCTGAAGTGAAGACAAGGATGAAAACTGACATCTTCAAGGATATGAGGATTTGTAAAACACATGTTGAGATCTATAATTAATACAAATCTTTAATCTACAGATAAATTCAATTTTAATCTAGAGATATAACAAAGTATCATAAATATACCAGGCATGCCAGATAATTTACAGTTGCAGTCAATCTGAAAGAACAAAGTTGAAAAAAGGTGAAAAAATCTTTAAAATGTTGTACTAGAGAGTACATATAACAAAGTATAAAAAAAGGAAGGCACTTACAGTTCCTTGTATTTCTGAAAATATGGTGGAGCCCTACACAAAACAGAAAATTTTAAGAAATTTAAACATGCCATAAGTTTTCAGTTCGTGCATGTCCTTAGTTTTAATTTAACATCAAACAAAAACAACAAACATATTTTTGTCATACATCTTCCACAAAGGGAACAAGAAATCCAAAGTATTATAATGTTGTTACCTGTTTATCAATGATGGCATCAATGCTTTCGGCTACATCAAAATAAATCTATAACATGAATAGAATTAATTAGAAATACTTAGGACTAATTTGTGATAATTAGAAATAATTGGAACTTATTATGAATAATTAGAACCAACAACTAATTAGCAATATTTAGTACAACTAATTAACAAAAGAAAAAAGTTCACTCATCACATTACATCTAAAACAAAGCATAAAAAAGGATTTTCCTTCAAATTTCTTAATGGAACAATGTGAATATAGCTACGTACCTCATTATTTGCATATTTTACACCAGTTCTCCTCCATGGAGCATTGGACAATTGACCAGTTGGGAGATGACTGCTCATACTAGGAAAATATGAAATATTAAACTTACATTATATGTAGAATGATCATAAATGTGTAAACTAAGTCAAATTTAACTAAATATTGTAGTAAGTTGCATGTAAATAACAACGCAAATATAGAAATGTTTATTGGTTTTACGGATTTGCTTTATATTTATATCTGATCCTTATATGAACAACATATAGATAACTACATAAAAACATGGCTCATATGTTTGCTATAAGGAAGGTTCTTACTTGCTATCTCCAGTCACTTTATTAACAACATTTCTAACTATACTAGGAGGTCTTATCAACTCTTTAAGGACATTTGACTCTGTAGCAAGAGGGAATCCATTATCCAACATCTCTTCCAATAACTGAAGAATATAAAGATATAATATCATATTTTACATTACACACAACAGAAAAAATTGAAATTCATCTATCAAACAGCTAGATTCTCTACAAAATATACTAATCTCAAACCTCATATACAATGACACAATTTTCTTTAATGATTGTTTCAGTACAGTCAGAGAAATATTCTTTGATCAAGTCAACAACTCGATGAAGAAATTCAATCACAAACAAAGGTGGAACTGGAAAGGAATGTTTTCAATTCATCAATAATAATAATCATTAAAGTGTTCACCACATGTTGATGATATGAAGGCTAAATTATTTTTATCTACCACTAGGAATGCCTAATGCAATGCCTTTTGTTAAGTGATAACACTTCTTTGCAATGTAATGCATACTTTTTAAATTAAAACAAGCAATAAATCACTTGATTGGATTAGAGGCAATTGATTCAAAATAAACATTATTAAAACATTAACTAACCTTAATATAAACACAAACCTTCATTTTCAACAACAGAAACAAAGAAGAGATCATGGCGAAATATACTGATGAGATAACTGAATCCTGTTGCAATTACAGGAGGAATGTCTTCTGGAGAAGTAGCCTGAACATAAAGATGATATTTAATTTGTTTAGGAGCATTTTTGTCAGACAAATATAAAATGAGAACCATTCATGAAAGTACCTTAAAATTTCTCAACCAAAGAAGCACAAACAACAATTTACACATAAATTCATTTACCTTTCCTTGAGCTTCGAAGAAATAATCACAAACAGAGCGTCCCAAAACACTTCTCCAATGTTTTTCCAGAAATATATCCCTAAATGTACATGAAAAACATCATATGACCTAGTGACTCACAGTAACCCATTTGGTGTAAAGTTGTGATAACTAAACAATTGAGGAAGCTGAAATCATCAAAATAAAATCATCTAACTGACTTCAACACTATTGAAATTACAGATATCAGGTAATATCTCACGATTTTTATGACATTCTTTATTTTTTCTGAGTATTAATCCTGTCACATGATACTTCTCATAATCTACCTTCACTGGCTTCTGACATTGTTCAAGCTTTCCTTTAATATCTTACTGAAACTAGTCTCATTTTACCTCATTCAAATAATTGTAAAGTACTTCTCACAATAATCACAAGCTGATACGTACAAAACCAACAGAAGAGCTTTGAGAGCAAACAAATATAAAACCAATACATACTGTCACTACCGACTCACCCTGAATGGTTGATGATAAACAAACTGTGAATCATTGTAAAATCCACAGATAATAAAACCTATAAAAATGTATTTCTCCTTTACTTAACAAGCTTAATGGTTATAAAACTATTTTCATGTAAGTTCATTTCGTAAATATTTATTTATAGTATTGCTAACATTTAAACAACATTTAAAAGCGATGTTTCCATTTAAAAAAATTAAGATTCATGTAGTCATCTTACTTGTCCCCAGACCACTGAAGACTCAACGGCCTTTACCAGCTGGCTCACCTAACTTATCTCTAATTATGGTCCTGAAGATTTTCGTCTCAATCCCATGAATTGTCAAGTCAATGAATTGTAAGAGTCCCAAACGGTTATACAATATAACGATAGATGAAATACCATGCACCCTAGTACAAGGAGAGATGTTCTGTTTTAGTCGATTTTAATTTTGTTTAGAAAAACGTATTTCAAGATAGGAATGGACCGTGACTTCCTTCAGTTTTTTATGCACATGCTACAGAGTCCCCGGAATCTACAAACATGCTAAAACCTTAAACATAGACTGCATTTTGGAAAATAACTTTGTTCAAATCCTGAGTTTAATAAATAAGTCTCATTCTACTCGCTACGAACGCCCTGTGCAGTGGGTTAGCGGTTCGAATTTTGAAAGCTGGTCATTTGCATCATACAATACGATTTATACCAAATAACCAAAATGCTGAAAATCTTCCTTCTTAGCAATGTCAATGTACATAATATCCACATCCTTATTGGACAACCCTTTCTTTGATAACGGATGCACTTTTGGCGATGGTTGTTATATTTTTATGTATAAAAGCATAACATTGACTGGTAAAGCCGCTGAATACATTGCCAACAATCGTTCTTTCAACCAATAACTTAGTGTAGAAAGTTGGAGTACAAAACATGAACAAAAGGCATTAAATCGATTCACAAAAACAATTTTGGAAAATACTCTCAGGCTCATATCATTGACTAGGTTTGGTTCTTACATACACCTTGATATTTCGAGCAGACACCTCTTTTCTTCTGGGATTTTCTGTCTATACAACAATTAAACAAGCCCAGAAATATTTAATAAACACTTGCATGTAAAACAAAACATTCAACTGCAGGGGCTTCGAAAAGTTGTGTGTGTGCCATGCTAACTGTGTGGTAATTCACAATAGTTAAACTGGTGTGATAAATTTTTTGATATTTAATTCGATTTTTTTGGTTTAACTGTATCATGTCACCCTCATTGAAAAGTTGGCACATCTGTATAAACCAAGTATTCAATTTTTTATCAAATCTTATAAAATGCTCACAATCTAAAAATTGGAAGCTTCCGAACGTACATAGCTTCCCGACTCCTGAGCCATTTTTTTTTGTAGAGATTAACAATCAAAAATTAAGAAAAAATTTAATTGACAACAAGGAAAGACGAGTTGCATTACGAGCGAGTTGTTGTTGACATAATTATGAGATTAATGATTTGGTTTACTGCATTTGTGTTTAATTTGTAGTTTAAATAGCCATCAAAATAAAAATAATCTGATAAAAATTCTTCTCTCAAGACGAAAAGCTTATCATTAGATAACTGATAACTCACAAATAATTGCGAAAATTGTCTTTTGTAAAGCAAGGCATGAGAAATATGGATGTTTCAATTAAAATAACGAAACCTGGTAGAGTCCCTCGGCAGTATTCATACTTTGAGTTCCGTACACACCAATGATGCACACTACAATAATAGAATCAATGGAAATTAACTGAAAATGTGGAATCTTGAAATAACAAGCAACAAATGACTGAAAGAGACAGATCTGGCGAAGTATTTACAAGACTGAAATTCATAAATGCAAGCTTGTGGCTTAAAACATACGATCTTTAGTCTCAAGAAAAATACAACACAACTAAGCCAAAATAAACAAAAATTAAGCAAGTTTGACTTCGTCATCATTACCTCAACGTACACAGATTTTCTTCTAACAATTTAAAAGCTGCAACAAAAGAAATACTAGGAAATGATCACAACCTCACATGAAAGTGTCATTTTATTCAAATATTACCAATTTCCCCAATTCAATAAGTTGTTCTTTTTATGCATATCAATCTTTACCCTTTCCAGTGTACTGTAGTGACGTACATAAACTGAATAGCGTTCTAGTACATTGAACTCACGCTCGGAGCTCATACGAAAGACTTATATAACGCTAAAGTACAACGGATTTTGAGCACAGATCGAGCAACTCCTTAATTGCGTTACAAGTCATGACATCCATATTATATTGTTATATATAGTTATATGTATTGCTATACATTGTTATACTTGAAGAAATGCTATGTATTACTAAATTACACATGTTAAAATTTATTGAATATTTTACATAACAAACATGATGTATGGAAATCAAATTTAAATTTCATTCGCCTTCAGTTTTAGATCGTTAGTCATTTGAAGACAAAAATAATAGTTAATTATATAACATTGCAAAATCCAATGAAAATTCATAGCAATCTGGCCATGTAATATCCAACTTGGTTACTTAATTTAACTTGCTTAAGAGCCTTAAATTAAAACATACATAAAAGAGGATCTTGAATAGTTGTATCATTGATTTCCTTCTTGCCAATTGCTTTCCCATAAACCTCTTTTGCAGACAATAAAAAGACTTCATTCATGCGGCACATTTTAGCTTTAAAATGAAAACGATAATGTTCTTGTTTTCCCATTCGTCATTTGATCTGACCATTTACACTTAGGATAAATAATGCAAAGAAATAAAATAAGTGAAATGAGCTGCTAAAAGGATTAATAACTCTAATCGAAAACTCTCTTGTTTTTCTAAGCAAGCATTTTTCGCAATTTCAGCATTAATGCATACGACGTGAAAGCATTTGCTGACTTAAAGCAAAAGATACACAATATTTACTATTGCATATGTGTTCTTTACAAGTTTGACAACATAATAAGCTATAAGCTTCTTTTTACCATATGATAAAATTATGCCAAAGTCTCTGAATCACCATGATTCGTAGGTACTCGTCACTATCTTTGGATATCGGACAAATCGTTAATCTCGTCTAAAGATTTTTGACTATTGCTAGTACTATCACACATGCTTGAACCGTTATTTTCAGTTGCACAAAGTTAGAAAATGATGCACCAGATACAAGTGAAGAGATTACGGTTTTTGGTAGAATATTTAAGAAAAGTGACACGTACACAGAATTTGTTTGTTCTTACATAGCTATTTACCGTTAATATCAGCGTAATCAATAACAGCTTCGCTTTTCTTTCCCTTGCCTTCTTCACGTTTTACAGAATATGCACTGTCTAAAAAATGTTTGCAACCGCAATATACAGAATTCAAAACATACATGCATTAAGTACAATAAATGAAGAGGAGAACTAGAGTGAAAATAACAAATATAGTGTAATGGACCCCTAATTTATAGCTTGGCCATCAAAAATGAAAACTCATTTCTGTGTCTTACTTGGAAAACGTTTCTTTAGAACAGGTCTTGTCTTCCATTCACTCAATCTTATGGTTCTGTGAACTAGAAGAGGCAGTTCCTTAAAAAGTTGAAGAAAATACTCTTGATAGTTTCCATCTTTAACACATGATGACAGTTCTGGACGAGATTCATCATGCCAATGCTGGCGAACGTTTCGTAAAAATCTTAAGCAACCTAACCATGTAGAGTCGGATACTTTATTGAAATGATTAAAAAATTCAGGATCGATACGGTCCATCCAATCTATTGAAAGGTTTAACTGCTCACGAAGATTTGAGGGAAGAGAATGTGGAGATGATGTCTTTATTTCTGGTTCATTCCCAACATCACACAGAAAATCGAAATTCTCCTTATCGGTTTGTAGATAAGGGTGCTTTAACGCTTCGTTGGCCAATGGTCTGTCTTCCGGTTTTAGCTGTAGCATCCACGATAAAAGGTCTTTGAGCGTGGCATCCTTGATTTCGTCCAAGCCAACTGGGTTTCCTTTCAAAATGTTGTCCAGTCTATGACGTTCAATTCCAAAAGGATGTTTCCCCTTTGTTGCAACATAATAAGCCACCTTTCCGGCATTCTATTTTCAATAAAAAATGGAGTTAATTTATTTGATACTTGCTAAAATATAAGTTCAGTTCGAAAAAAATCAGCAAAATGTTCTCCAATTAAGAGTCGTAGCCATAATTTTTTAGAGCAATCTAAATGAGAGACATACAATCGTAAAACCAATAAGGCAATAACAACAATTCATTATCATACATATACATGTTTTTATATTTTATACAGTACAATTTTTCTTTCGCCACTATATGACTGTACAATGGAGGTAAACAAAAATTTTATTTAAAAGTGATAATGATATCAGTGGCAGTGATAATGATATCCCTACCAAATACAACATTCAAATGCAAAAACGACATTGACCTGTTGTTGAACCTTTATTTCTACTTCAAGAACTTACCATAATGTCAGACTCTTTTTTGTAACGAACTTTATTAATTGTATCATCTGATGCGTTATATGACTCTGGAGCTATCCAATATTTAGCTCCTCTTTGTATGCTCCGATGTGTCGAAGTTTCATCAGATAACATATGACTTACACCAAAGTCCGCGACTAGAAAATTTCCTTGTACATCTCGAAGAACGTTTGATGGTCTTAAATCCCGATGAAGAATAGGACACGGACCGCTGTGAAGATCAGCTAAACCTTTTAAAATCTGCATAAGAATTCTAGGAAGTGCTTTTTGAAGATATTGCAAAGTAGAAGATTTCACAAAACTTTCTAACGATTCTTCACACAAATCTAATATCAAATACAAATAATCTGTGCCTGGTTCTTCTTCAAGATGCCAATAATTCACAACATAATTTGAACGCTTGGCATTAAACTCATTCAAAATATCTTTTCCTCGTTTGGCTAACTCCGCACAGTTATCTCGAAGCAATCGTTTTACGGCTTTTCCGTATCCATCGTTTCCGAGTCCAAGGTAAACACGAGTTCCATCACTTCCTTTACCAAGCAGAAACTCTTCAGAACAAATAACCTTTACACCATTTACAAGTTTAACTTTTCTTGGATTTTTCTGCCCATATTCTTCCATCATTCTGAACTTTTGCTGGTGCATTATTGATTTATCATAACATTTCCACGGTTGAGACAGCAATTCTTCAATTAAAAAGTAAAGTAGACTATTTAGAAAGGAATATATCAATGTATCAAGAAGCAATTTAATTTTCTAATTATACGCACATTAAGAAAATGTGGCTATTAGACAAGATTTGAAATACCTACACCACTTTGGCCGTTAAGGTGAACTGAATTTTATATTTAGCTACTAAATAATAACATAACATAACAACATGTTTGCCTTGTCTTGAGTTTATTTATATTAACAGCGTATTTCCCTGCTTCCAAACACACGGATGAGGGATATTTAGTTCAAAGGACGTTGAGGGACATTAGGATCTTTTCACTTTAAATGTGGAAACATTGAGATTGAAAAATCAAAGATGAAAGCATCTGTCGTGGTGAAAAGAGTTCGGAAAATTAAAGAACCTAATGTGTTTAAGGTTACCTTCTGAAAAGCTTGTGTTCATCCAAAAGCGTTTATCCAAATTATCGTCTGCATCTAAACACATGATAAAGAAAATAAACGTGTATATCACATGTTACACTACCCAGTTTTTGTAAATTATGAATAAAAAGTCGCTCCACAAACGGATAAAAGACTAAAAAAATGTCGGTCGGACTAAAATTTTGGGATATTTGATCCAACAAAGACACAATAAAGTTGGTCCCATGACGTAGAACACTCCCCCTCAAACCTTTTATATTTCATTGGATATAGACTGCTTTAAACAACCATAAATATCCATGTACTAAAAACATAAGCACCAAGAAGGATAGAATCATATCAATATTTCATATTAACTTTCGCCTTGTTGAGGGAAGAAAATTTATCTTTATCTGTTTGTTATTGTGATATCTATACAAATATTCGTCCTTACTTTATTGCATGAACATAGCTACTAACCTCTATTGATTTCTCCTGCAATATAAAGAAGAAAAATTGTTTTTTCATTTACATATGATACGTCAATACAGAGACAAAAAACTCGTAAAATACTAATTTTGATTAAACCGTTAGAGAACATAAGTAATAAAATATAATATGATTAAAAACATATAAACAGTAACAAAACATATCTTCTTTGTTTAAACAAGACAGGTTCAATGAGTCATGTATAAATCTACATAACTTGTATTATGTTAGATCGTCTGTGATCTTGGTTTTGCAAAAAATTGCACCATTTTTGAAATAGATGTTAAAGTTTGTAAGGGGGGCCAAATTTCCGAAGTGGGACCATATTTACTAGGAAGTATTGCTCCTGTGGAGACAAATTTCTTAGGAAATGTTCATTATTCATAACCATGTACATTGCTGATATTGGAACATTCAAAACTTTATCGACAAGATAAACACTTTTTGGAGTGTGAGGGTCATACTTTGTCTAACTGTAAAAATCCTTACAGTTAATCATAAGCTTTGCACTAACGTTAACAGCCTGGGGGACTGGGAGAGCTGAAGCCCCTACTTTTTGCAAAAAATATATTTAGACTGAGCTGAAGTCATTGTTTAGAGGTCTTTTTTAAGACGCCATAGTAGAATTGAAGACTTAGCCCCGGACTTCATAATGTTGCTTCGCCGTCACTGCAAACACTTACTTCTTGTTTATCTCCACATCAATATTAGTATATGTTAAAAATATATTTGCGTTTGAACCATTTCATAACGTCAAAGGGGATGCTGGAGATAAAATTTTTAAAATGGTTAGCTTCTTCATGACAATCTTTGATGCACTGATAAACAAACATATCGCGACAAATCAAACGCAGAAAATTTACACTTCGACTGTATAACCGGAATAACTGACTGACTAGGTTGCATTTTTTACACTTAGAGATTTTAGAGATTGATTAGCTACATCATTGACAAAAAAGAAATATTTTAATCGTTAACTTACTAGCAAAGTGTTCTTCCAGATCTGGAGAGGATTTCCAGTCATTCGACCTTATGACTTTGTGCACCAGAAGAGGAAGCTCCGGGAAAATTTGCAGGAAATACTTTTTATAATTCACATATTGTGATAGATGCGGACAAGGCTTATTTTGCCAATGTTGGTCAACGTTTCGTAGAAATCTTAAGCATCCTGCCCATGTAGACTCGTACTTTAGAGTTCTTATACTGTCGTTTACTTCAAAGTTGATCAAATCTTTGACGACTTCATCATCGATACGCTTCATCCATTCTGTGGAACCATGCAACTGCTTATGAACGTCTGAAGTGGGAGAATTTTGACTTCGTGAATGTTTCACCTCCAGTTTGTTTCCCATATCACATAGCATGTTAAATTTCTCTTCATCTGATTGTAGATAAGGGTGCTTTAACGCCTTATCGGCAGATGGCCTGTCTTCAGGTTTTAACTGTAGCATCCACAATAAAAGGTCTTTGAGCGTGGCATCCTTGATTTCGTCCAAGCCAACTGGGTTTCCATTCAAAATGTTGTCCAGTCTATGCTGTTCAGTTCCAAAAGGATGTTTTCTCTTTGTTGCAACATAATAAGCCACCATTCCGGCATTCTATTTTCAATAAAAAATTGTCATAAACAGTCAGTGGTGGATACTAAAACCTTAAAGATTAAATCTATTTGCGATTTTCAGAACTCAACAGTAAATGTGCAGCTTAAAAAAATCTAAAAAATTTTCTCCAAATAGAATTGTAGCCATATATATGTATCAAAAGTAATCTAAACAAGGAATATACCATTGTAACTGTAACACGATTGATAAAAATTAATTTATTGCTATTTAAATTTATAGGTTGACACTATATGACGATACAATCGAGGCACAGAAAAAAATTGAGGTAAAATCATTATCACTACCAAATACCAATATTTAATTGAATGCAAATAAAACATTGAGCTGTAGTTGGACCTCTAGTTCTACTTCAAGAACTTACCATAATGTCAGACTCTTTTTTGTAACGAACTTTATTAATTGTATCATCTGATGCGTTATATGACTCTGGAGCTATCCAATTTTTAGCTCCTCTCTGTATGCTTTGATGTGTTAAAGTTTCATTAGATAACATATGACTTATTCCAAAGTCAGCGATTAAAAAATTTCCTTGTACATCTCGAAGAACGTTTGATGGTCTTAAATCCCTATGAAGAATAGGACACGGACCACTGTGAAGATCAGCTAAACCTTTTAAAATCTGCATAAGAATTGTAGGAATGACTTTTTGAAGATGTTGCAGAGAAGAAGATTTCACATAACTCTCTAACGATTCTTCACACAAATCTAATATCATGTACAAATACTCTTCGTCAAGGTTCTCTTCTAAATGGCAAAAATTCACAACATAATTCGAACGCCTTGCATTCAATTCATTCAAAATTTCTTTTTCTCGATTTGCAAAGTCTTTGCCGCTATCTTTGTGTATTCGCTTTACTGCTTTTCCATAACCATTGTTTCCCAGGGCAAGGTAAACACGGGTTCCATCACTTCCTTTGCCAAGCAAAAACTCCTCCTTGAAAATTACACGCAATCCACTGAGCAGTGTAACTTTTTCTGGATGTTTGCGTCCATATTCCTCCATTTTCTTAAACTTTTCCTGATGCATTATTGATTTATCAAAACATTTCCATGGTTGACGCAACAATTCTTGAACTTAAAGGAGAAGTACAAATCAGGAAAAATTAAAAAACGACTGATAAATTCATCAATTCACATTTTTATTTGTTTTGGCAATATTACATAACATGTAATATTGCTGTGTTTTTTTCAGGATGAGAAAACACGGATGTTTTTACTTTGATATGGAAATAAAGTTTACTCCGGTAGAAATGAGTTGGTCATCATACAATTCACACGCAATAATCGACGTTCCACGATTAGTTCATTGCACGACCATACCAACCTTTAACTCACTAAAGCCAGTGGCGGATCTAGGGTACGTCAAAATAAATTGCTGCAGCTCATGCTTGGATATATTTCCATTTGCAAATACAAAGAGGCAAGTCCATTGATAAAGTTTAATTTTTTTGAAATTCAAATTCAAAAGTTTTGGTTTGAATATATTTTGAATTTAAAATTGAGCATCTATAATTCATTTTGACAAACGCTAGATCTGCTACACTAGATTGAGCAATTCTGCAAAGGATAAAACACACATCCTTTTCACATTAACATAAAACATAATATTTAGTATCGGAATGTCCTGACCAAAAATCCTCTTAAAATAAATTGAATTTACTCAATGATCTCTACAAATGTTTACAAAGCAATGATCCCTTCAATAACTGACTTTGTTTTAACTGGGAACAATAAGAAATAGTTAAGATGGTTGCTTACGACATGATGCACTTTACGTTCAGATACGGACATTTTTATGCATGCAATGAAAAGAGTGTTTCATTCCTAATTAATAGTCATTAAAAATTTACATAGCATTTTCCAACTCAAGCAATTGAGAGTAGTAAAAAAAATTAATCATAATCCTTTACGAAACTGAAAATAATTCGTTATACCAACCTTCCAAACGTTGTTTTCCCTCTTCTGCATAATGAAAAATAAATAATAAAATAATATTAAAATATTATATAGTTATAGTGACAAGCAACTAGAGCATTTTTTGTTTGATTTATAACACAACAAAACAATTTAATGGGCTCTTTATCATGAACTGTGAACAATGTTAATGTATGGGCTTCTTTTAATATTTGGTCGCATCATAATACCACACCGACTATAAATATGAGAAAATATAAAAATTACAGAACCACAAATTACAATTTTCCATTATAAAAAGTATTTTTGATTGGTTTTTGTCTTCAACAACAACATGTTTGTTTCTGTATTCATTACGAGGAAAATATCCATTGGTCAAGATATTGGTCGTCACATGAGTAATAATGTAATATGTGGAAACAAATGAAAGTATTTTTATATATAGCTATCATTATATTTTTAAGGTTATTGTAGACAAACACATATTTTGTACAATCAATTTTGAAAACAACAATTTTAATATCGTCGTGTGCAAGCGCAATAGCAAAAAAATATTTTAGTTGCAACTTAGTGAAAGTTGAGAACGCTTTGATTTATTGAGAATGTTGCAGGTTTATAACCAAACCTTCACAAATGTATCCTTCTTCCACACTCTTTTCATCATTAATCCCTAGCACAAAGTTTATATTTATGTTTTGCATTCGATTCACAGTTGAGTATCTCACCGTCGTAAAATGGTGACAGTATAGGAATGAATAAACATTTTAAAATTTATTATTTTGCACCATTATAACGGAAGTAGTTAAAAAGAGCAATGATAGAATGATAAAAATAGCAATGAAGAATGATTTTTCTGAAAAATAGAAATTTTGTTACCTGATGAAGGCATTGCATCGCTGTCTTCGAAACTGTCATTATCATTCGATTGGCATACAGAAGGTTCCCTTTTTTTCGAAGCTGGAACAATGCAAATAAATAACATTACCAAATGATAATATAAGTAGTAGTTAAAAATAGCAATCTGTCAAAACGCTGACATTTTGAAAACGCTTGTTATTTTTTTAACGACTCAAACCAATATCTAATTCACAAAGAGCATTTTCATAAAGAACATTTTTTGGCATGCATTTTGGTTTTTTCCTGCCCACATTGGCTTTGCATACTTTTAACGATCTTATGCAAATATTCTAGTGTAATGATCTTATGTAAATATGCAGTAAAGTTCCCTTTAAATGCGGAAACATTGAGACTGAAAAAAATTGCGCAAATGTTAAATTAATGAATAAATTCTAAACAAATTAATGCCTGTAAAAATAATATATAAATGAACATAAGTCAAATGAGTACATAGGTTTTAAATGATGCATATATATGTTCTTCATCACAAAGAGTAATAATTTAGTACCACGTGAAAAATCTTTGAAGGAGACATTTTCGAGAAGTCCCAACTTTTCTAAACCATCTTTTAATCTCATGCAAACATAATAAGTCTCGTTTTTCTTGGTCACTGCAGCAACTCCATACGCAAATGGTATCTTTTTGTTGTTCTCATCATAATAATACACCAGGCAACCAGAATCTCCAGGCCGGAGGAATTCGTTATCACTCTTTACTGCCACTATGTCACGAAACACTAAATTGTTGTTGTTGTCAAAAACGCTACGACTGATGCCATCAATGACGTTCAAGCCAAACTCGTCACCAACTTTATAAACTTTTTTATTTGCCTTTGATAACAAATTATCAAACACAGCATCAAAAGAACTCGGCATCTTTATTTCAGCTGCAGTAAATTCATTTTCTTTGTCATCAATTAAGATTGCCATGATGTCGGTTTCAAGATTAAATGAGTAATGAAATAGCTCGCCAAGAGGTATTTTTATGCTGTTTTGATGAGTATAAGAGTACTTGTTTTTTAGTTGAAATTTCTCAAATGCCAATTTATCATTTTCAATTTGGTCTCGAATGTAAAAGATTTGATCGGCACCTTCCAGAATTTTTCCATATCCAACATGAAGACAAGTCAACGCGTAATGTTTGCCATCTTTACAGCTGAACAGAGTCAAAGTGCCACAAGATTCTTCATTAGGCTCATCATCACGCTTTGAGTGAACCATGTTGGATAGTGGCCGAATTATTATTCCGTCTGATCGGTCGACAAAACGTAATTCAATGTATTCTGAAGCATTGCCATTTAATATCTTATTGATTTCTGGTTTCAAATCTTTCCCTCTCATTTCTTTGTCCACTTCGAGGTACAAATGAAGATAAGGCATCTCTTTGTTCGGATGAGCTATGCCATATTTGCAACAAAGCCAAGAAAAACTGTGAATGTGAAAACGTCATGGTGTTCGACCAAAAATCAGCATGATGGCGGCTTGTCAAGCCAAATGAATCAAAATTATACTAAATATGATAAGAAATCATTACCTTTTCAATTTTTCATGCACACAATCTTTAATTTTGAAACCTTCGGTTAAAAACGTATTTTTAAAGTCACTCGTGTTGGGAATTGGAGCTTTATCTACAAAAAAAGACATATAATAAATCTCGACCATGCACTGGACAAAAAATAAAAAATAAGTGAATGAAATTTACATTCTATTTTTAATTCAAAAGCAGCTAACGTGTTTAAACTCTTTCCTTCCACTAACAAAAATCAAAGTTATATTTACTGACTTTATAATGCAACATGATATAGCTATGAAAGTTAAATCAATAGCTTATAAAGTCACACCAATTTTAAAGGAAGGAATTTTTTCAATCTTTCTTTTTTCTGACTACATGCAAATTAGCTAATGTCTCCACATGGTTATCGTGTTATTTCCTCAATGAAACAATTCAAATTTGATATTTTTTCTATAAAACTGCTGCAAGGAAACGCTTTGTTGTTTTGAAGAATTGAAAAATGCCAACTTTTGAAATTAATTGCTCGCATAACAAGTCGATTGCGTGTACATTGGTCATTAAATGGTCATTCCATCCTACCTGAAAATTTCTTGAAGATATCTCCATCATTTTGCAATTTTCTGTCAACAGTACAACCAGAAAATCAGTCCAAAGTTATATAAAGATCACTTGTGGGAAAATAATTACAGCAGCTATGCTGTTTTTTGCAGAGCAATAAAAATGCCAATCAGCTGTAAAATTCAGTAGTAATATACCAGCTGAAGTTATATTTCCTTATTTTAATATTGTATTTCCGAAACTTTTAATATAATTATAAAAATACAGGATTAAAGATAAAATTTTTTGCCTTTTTAAACATCGTCATCGACCAAGCGTGTCATCCCAAAAAATAAATTATAAAATCCTTCTTTCAAGATGAAATGAAGAGAAAACGGACTATTTTTATTTCAAAATTGATCAAATTTGATGTGCTTACTTTTTGTGAGGTATTGCAGACGACAATTCCTTTTCATCGGTATAGCCTTTGCTGACGCTGTCACCTGTACGCAAAATATAAACACAGATTTGTCAGAGGCCTTATCAAAATACAGTAATAAAATAACCCAACGTAGCTCAAATCACCTTCAACATATTGTATAGACCGTTTTAAAGAGATGCGACCTACAGTAAGGAAGACAAAGAACATAATTTTTACAGTCTCCTCCAAACAAAATGAACTATGTAATTGAACTTGTGGCATTTCTCGACATTGTAAATCGTAAATTGAACTCTATATATAGCTATTTAATTCGTATACACTAAAAATAATTTCGAATGTTTTACTTACTCGGAAAATGTTTTTGCAATTTAGGTCTTGTTTTCCAGTCAGTCGATCTAATAATTTTGTGCACCAGAAGAGGAAGTTCGGGAAAACGTTGAATGAAATACTCTTTATAGTTGCCTTCTTTGATAAATGGGGATAAACGTGGACGAGGTTTATCATGCCAGTGCTGATCAACGTTACGTATGAATCTCAAACAACTTGCCCATGAAGACTCGTAGGTTACAGTCCTTTCTTTGTTGTTTACTTCAAATGTTTTTAAATCTTTCAAAACTTCATCATGGATAAGTTTCATCCATTTTGAGCGACGATTCAATTGCTCACGAACATCTGAATTTTGACATTGTGGTTGTTTTATCTCCGGTTGGTTTCCAACATCACACAGCATGTCAAACTTTTCCTCATTGGATTGTAGATAAGGATGTTTTAACGCCTCGCTGGCTGATGGCCTGAGTTCAGGCTTATGCTGTAGCATCCATGAAAGAAGATCTTTAAGTTGAACATCATCGATTTTTTTCAAGCCAACAGGGTTTCCATTTATTAAGTTTTTCAATCTATTCTCTTTAGTTCCAAAAGCATGTTTCCCTTTTGTTGCAACATAATAAGCCACCATTCCTGCACTCTAATATCAATAAAAAAAACCATAAATAGTCACAACATCAACTGTAGATACTGAAATGCTAAAAAATTGAGTTTATTAGTTATTTGCAGAACTGAACAATAGCTATATATTTTGTAACGAACATATCTACCATTATATCAGACTCTTTCTTGTAACGACCATCACGCAAGGATTCAGGAGCGGACCAACCATAACTGCCTGTACCAGGACTGCTTTGATGTGTTGATTTACTTTTCAATATTCGACTAAGGCCAAAGTCAGCTATCATAAATTTGCCTTTCACGTCTTGAAGAACATTAGAAGGCTTTAAATCCCGATGAAGAATAAAATTTGGACCATTATGAAGATCAGATAATCCATTTAAAATTTGTTTAAGGATTTCGGGAAGGGTTTCGTGAAGTGTATCTAAACTAGTAGACTCAACAAAACTTGTCAAAGTTTGTTCACACAAGTCTAATATCAAATAGACAAAATCTTCTCCTTCCTCTTCTACGAAGTTCCAATACTTTACAACATGCTTCGACTCCTTTGCGTTTGGCTCATTCAAAACATTCTTTTCTTGTAGTGCAGAATGGATACATCTATTATTAAGGATTCGTTTTACAGCTTTTCCATAACCATCCTTTCCCAAACCAAGATAAACGGTTCCATCACTTCCTTCGCCAATCAAGAACTCGTCCATGAAAATCACACGTACATCGCCTTTAATTCTAATATCACCTGGATGTTCAAGCCAATGTTTTTGCATCATTTCAAACTTTTCGCGATGCATCACTGATTTGTCAACGCAATTCCATTCTTGCGACTTCCCAACTTAAAATAATTGTAGGCCATTTAGCAAAATATAAAAAATAGTCAAATAGTCAATAGACATTTCAATAATTCTAATATTAATGTGGTGTAAAAGTTTTCATCAGTCTAAAATTTCAGTACGCCTCTGGCTCTGTTAGTTTCAAGTGCAAGCAGAAATCGTGGTTTCAAAGTACATTTGCTACATAATCATGAGCAAATATTTAAAATTGCTTAAATATAAACTGCGAAAATATGACCTGCATTTTAACTTTAGATAATCAACAGGAATGTGGATTCGATATCTTACATTTTTATTGCAAAGAATTAGCTTTATATTTTAAATAGTGTCTTACCCAAATTGTGATATTCATTGATATGCATCTGGGCTAGAAACTTCAGATTGAGTATTTTGTTGTCCGTTTTCTCAGCAATTTCAAGTGGGCTTGAATAAGTGTATGTCGCTGTAGTAAAATGAACAATAAATACTATTAACATAATTAACATAACAGTAACTATTGCAAACAGACTGCAAAAAAAATTGCAAAAAATTGAAATTTAACTATTCTAATCCTGATAACGTTAATTGGCTGTGAATTAAAAGAAAAATATTACAGTTGCGACTCAAATTTATTAAAATTAGTAACACAATAAGAAAATTTTTCAAAAATTGTAATATTAACAACTTTATTATTCTATTTTTCATTGAAGCACTCAGAGATACTTGTAACCACACTCTACTTAAAAATCAATCTTTGTTTATGTATTTGGTAAAGCACATTACGTAGTTTCTAAAGGTACGTTTACACAAACTGTTTTGTCAAGCCGACATTTACAGGTACGTTTAAACACAACGATTTGTCTGACCGACACTGACGACATATTACGTGTTCTTGTCATACATGGAAAGTCGTCGGACTCGAAAAATCGGATGAAAATCTGTAGCAAACTACAGATTTGTTACCGATTTTTACTATTTTGCTATAGTTTCTAAAATAAGCAAATTATGACCATCGAAAATAATTATCGAAATGTCTTCTGTCAACACAGAAAAAAAAGTGTTGAGAGCATTGTTGTTTTCATCGAATAACCAAAAGCTGCCATGTATTTTATACGAAAGAATGTTTTATCCCGTTGAGTCACCTGAATTTTTTTCAGGTTCATGAGACAATTGCTTAAATTGTCCAACAAAGTGCGAAGATCATATCTTCATTTAAAGTATTTTATATTGCATCTGTTTAAACATCTACAATAGTGAAAAGTGTAGTTTATACTATACTAAAAATATTCAACTCAAACAATAATATGATGATTTCCACTATGCTTACCTTGTTCACGTTCCTGATATGTTCTCTCGTCAGCTTTCTCTAAAACATCACAAAGACACAAAAGTATGAAAAATTGATAGTCAAAAAGTCGATTGCTGTATGTATATTTTTTTATACTTGTAAGACGTTATTTATATTGTATTATCAATTGTCATTACCGTTGTCACATTAAAAACGTTTCGACCAGTAAAATATTAAAGAAAAATTAAAGGAAAATAAAATTACACAACTTTTTACCTTTATAAGAGGCAGTACGACCATTGTCGTCACGGTTGGTTTTGTTCAATGCAGTGTCAACGTCGATGTGTTTATCACTAACGGATAGAGTGTCACCTTTGTTCCTCGGTTTAAACAACTGACCACCCTGAAGGCCGAGTGCTTTTAAGGCAATGTTTAATCTCATGCAGGCATAATATGTCCCGTGATTATTAGTTATTTCTGCAATTCCATACGCAAACGGTTGCCAATTATTTTTTTCATCCAAAAAATAAACAAGAACACCAGCGTCACCATCCTTAAGAAATGACTCATCACTTTTTATCATGATAACATTACGCAAAATCACATGTTTTTCAACAAAAACTGAATACATAAGTTCACACAAGGAGCCAAAAATACCAGTGTCTGTGCGAACTATCACAGATTCCCCTTGGAATAGCCTTTCGTGAATTTTGATAAATACGTCATCAAATTTTGAATCAACATCTTCCAATTCATCACCAACAAGTTTCTGAAAATCCTCTTCATTGCCAACAGTGATAGACATGATATCGATATCAGGACAATAAGAGAAGTCAGAAAAATGACCAACCACGCTGTCATCATCTGAGAAAGTATATTTATTTTTATGCAATAAACGCTGAATGCTTTCCTTGTTTTTACTAATTTCATCTTGAATCGCAGCAAAGTCATCATTCCACTCCAAATGAAGTGACAAACCAACGTGGCAACAAGTCAACGCGTAATATTTTTCATCTTTACGGCATAACAGGGTCAACTTACCGCGAGCCATTTTAGCAGAAATCATGCTGGACAGTCGTTAAACTTTTCTTTTCTTCAAAGTAATTTCTCATTAATTTGTCATATCAGTATCTGCAATACGTAAAAATTGATTATGAGAAAGATGAGAAAGATGCACATTATATGTGTTAAAGACCAAAACCATCGGTTTACACACAGTGGCGTAGCTAGCGGTCTGGCTGGTCGGGCCCAGCCCGACCAAATATTTTCCCAAAAATGAAAAATTTGTTTTCTTTAAAATTGGATTTGCGAAAATTTTTAATTCTGCGACTCTTTTTAGAATAATCCACAGTCTATTAGTGTAATATTTGTCAAATTGCGTCGTTATTAGCAAAATTGTCATATTTTTAAACGTTACTTAGCAACAATGACTAGTGCATTTCTAGTGCCAGGCATTACGCAGTTTAGTCGGGCTCTGAAAATTCAGCCCGACCAAATAGTAAAATCTATAGTGGGATTATCTGCAATCTGATTGGTTGACAGCAACTGAGCAAACTCAAATGCGCTGTTTTCAACATCTAGTCGGGCTCTGAAAATTCAGCCCGACCAAATAGTAAAATCTATAGTGGGAATATCTGTAATCTGATTGGTTGAGAGTAGCTGTGAACACACTCAAACGTTTAACAACATCTCATTTTCAAAAGCGTGACTTGAATTTTGACCTTTCGAAATATACGTTCGGAAATCGTGATAACTTACATTACAATGGCTTCGGCTAATGAAATCGATATAACAAGTGAACTACAAAAGAAACCCTTTTCTGTTCGACTATCAGGCGAGCAAAATATACTCGTAAAGCAGCGGCCAATTCCAAATTTACAAGCGACTGCAGGCATTTGAAGCTTTCAGGAAAGTTGGTACTCGAAGAATAATTGGCTTTGTGGTAGCTCAGAAAAGAATGCATTGTTCTGTTGGCCTTGTCTTTTATTTTGCCCTGGATCATCATCTTCATGGACGCAGACGGGATTCAAAAACATGAAGAATTTCCTATCCGATTGTAAGAAGCATGAGAAGGCAAAATCGCACATGGGTGCCTACAAGACCTGGAAGACCTATGGTTTTCAGCCTCGTATCGACTGTATCATGTCACAAACTAGACGTGAAGAGATTCAGCGTCATAACGAGGAGGTAAGGCAAAACAGGGAAATGTTGAAAACCATAACAGAAGCTGTTTTATACTTGTCTAGGCAAGAGCTTGCATTTAGGGGGCATGATGAATCTAGTAGCAGCATGAATAGAGGAAATTATAAAGAGCTACTTGAAAGTTTTGCCAAGATAGATTCTGTTTTTGAAAGGCGATTACATGGAAGGCTTGCTGAAGCCCACCTTGCTGGGGAAGGGCGGTTTACTGGAGTCTCTATTGATGTTCAGAATGATTTGATTGATTGTCTTGATAAGATAATAAAGGATGAGATTTTAAAGGAAATATATTGCTGCACTTTCTTAACTATACAGGTTGATGAGGCAACTGATGTTTCTACCAAAGAACTATTCAGTGTAATTGTTCGAATGGACAAAGGGGAAAGTGTCATTGAAAGACAGCTTGGGTTTGTTGATGTCAGTTGTGATAGGACTGCAACTGCTATATCATCAGTAGTTAAGGTAAGTTAAGTCAATACAATAATGTGAAAGAGAAATTTATTGGACAGACTTATGATGGTGCATCTGTTATGTCTGGTCATCTCAATAGTGTTCAAGCTCAAGTTCAGCAGGATTATCCTTATGCTCAATTTGTTCACTGTGCTGCCCATAGACTAAATCTAGTATTATGTCAAGCTGCATCCTCCATCTCACCTGTTAAGATTTTCTTTGTTAATATTAGTGCTTTCTGCACCTTTACTAGCAATTCCCCCCAAAAGAAAAGCTTTACTATCATCCCATAGGCTTGAGTTTCCTATTCCTGGTGACACAAGATGGTATTATAGGGCTCATGTCATCAATGTCTTGCATTCTAACTATGAGAAACTGATAGACATATTTGAAAATCTTACTGATAATCCAATAGGTTGGGATGATGAAACGTTAAGTAAGGTTACTGGTTTACTTGGCTACCTTAATGGCTTCTTGTTTTGTTTCTTGGTACATGTTTTCCAGAGAATTCTTGAGCAGTCATCCATACTTTATTCTATCTTGCAAGACAAGGACACTGTTGAATAAGTGGGACCACCAGTAACCAGGTATGACCAACGGCATAATTACAAACAAATGTATTTTTTAATTCTTGACACAATTGTGACTATGCTTACTGAGCGATTTCAGGATATGGAGCGTTTTAGATTTTTGACCTTGTTTACCCTAGGGTGTTTAAGATTTGGAAAGGTGAAGTGCCCTCAGAAAAGATTAATCTTCTAAAGGAGGTTTATGGTGATATGTTTGACATACCAATGCTAGTTAGCCAACTTTGTTTTATTTACAGAGATAAAGACTTTCACTGTGATTCATGCGATGAATTATTGAAATATATTTTTCAGTTCCATTATCAATGTAGTATTCCAGAAATTGTAAAACTGTTAAAGATAAATGGGGTTTTGTCAATTACAAGTGCTTCAGTTGAGAGGTCATTTTATTGTTTGAAGAAGGTAAAAAATTATCTTAGAAATACTATGAGCCAAGGACGTTTTAGTTCTCTTTGCAGGATTTCCATTCACAAAGACATACTGTCAGAGAAAGAAGACGCCAACACATTGCATGATGAGGTAGTAAAGAAGTTCATTGAAAAACCACGAAGACTTGCTTTCTTATACAAATAGGTATACATATATGGCTGATAGCAAGCTGATGATGTCTTACGTCCATGGCATGTGAGAATTTTTCCGGGAACTTTTTAATGCAGTCAATGATGATTGTCATTTCAGCACGACAATTTCATCACAACTTTTGATAGTTGTTGATGACAAATCTGAGCCTTTTTCGGTTCTTTTGTCAAAGTTTCTTTACAAGATGTACATAGGTATCTATTTATGTATGTAGTGTTGAGAAAATAAATCACATATCTGCAACTATTTTTGAATTGTTTCTCTGCTTTACTATAAGATCCTTCGGCAATTTAAATTAACCAAAATGGTTCTATTTCCTGCATGAATATCACGCATTTGCTTTCTAAGATAGCCGTTTTCGACGTTCTAGGGAGTCTAAATTCGGAAAATTTTCTCGCTCCGCGCCAACCATGGTGGCGCCTCGTGAGCCCGACCAAATGTTTTTCGCTAGCTACGCCACTGTTTACACAACTGGAATAGAGGGAGGGGGGTCAATGTCTGACATAGCACTTTTCAAACAAGCATCATTTTCAATTATTTGTAAATAAATGTTCTTACTTGTCACAAGCAATTAATCTTGAAAAATTCTTATAAACGTTTACTTTCACCCTGCTTTATGATTCAGAAATATGGTGAATTTACTTGTAATTAAAAGCGCAAAGAAATCCTCCAATACCATCCAACTTTTTCAGTCTGCATGGTTATCATATTTTAAAAACATCAAAATAAAAAGAAAATTAAAAGGGACGGATTTTATGAGAGAAATTTGTTATCATTAACCAACGGACTAACACATTTGCTGCCCTGACACAAAAACCCTTCCCTGAAAAAACGTGATTTGTCTAGGGAACTACACAAATTAAGAGTCAATGTAGATAAAATTAAGTGTAAAAAAGCATAATGCAACCATAAAAAATGAATTTATTTTTAAATAAACAGAAGTGGACCTAATTAAAATGCCCCGTTTTCTTGTAGATTTTTCGTAAAGTGTACATTATTCGATAGCACATTTGGGCTAACCATATGTATAAAATATTCGGACAGCAAGCCTAAAATAACCTAAACAGTCATATTTCAGTTTCTACATGTCTCACAAATCCAAGAATATTATAATTCTAGATTCCACAGGTGAATAAAATAGCAACACCAAACAACTTAATCTATTGTAAGTATGCTGCATAAATAAACAAACCTTTAGGAAGTGGACTTACTTTCTTTTGACTCTCTTCTACATTAAAAAAACAAACAAGAAGATATTTTAATTACGATTACAAATGACAGGTTGACTGATTCACAGTGCATAAATTAAAAAATAAAAAATCGTTGCCAACATATAACTCAAACAACAAAATAAAGGCGCCAATTTTTTCAATATAGAGGTAAATGAAGTTGACCAGGATAAAAAATTTTAAAATGTCTCGTAGTACAAAGCCCTCGGTGCAGTCCAATCTTAATTCGTATGTAGTTTCCAAATAGGGAGGTACCCACACGTCACAATGCATTGTAAATTGCAACTTACATGACAAACTTATTATAAACCACAAAGTTCAGGTCTACAGGGCGATGACTCTGTGTCAAAAGAGAATCACAAGACGCACAAAGAATCAAATTCCTATAATCCGTTGGCCTTAGATAGTATACGGAAAAATCACATGATTAAATCTTTGCAAGCTTCAAAAGATATACGTTTGATAAAATGTGCATTTAATCTATTCAAGATTGCAGTAATGCAGCATAGATAATTGGTCAATGATAAACTAACTCAAAAGGTTGATTCTTCTGATTCTCATCAATAAGGTGCTTCACCTTTATGAAATAAACTTATCAGCCTATAACTCTAAGCATTGAAATCATTCCCAAGCATATTCTTTTTCATAAGAAAATTTGCATGCGTGTGCTCTTCCTGCCACGTATATCATACCACTCTTGTCATGAATACACGTTAACAAAGTAAAACCTATGTTATTGCCTTGTTTTTTGGAAACCGAAAATCTGCATCTTGACTAGAGAATAAAAACTGTACAAAAAATACACCAATTATTATGAAATGGTTTTAGTTTGAATTGTTACTGCCTAAATAATTTTTACTTTGATTCCGGTGAGTTGGAAAGAATTATCCTGTTAAAAATATAACCTGAAGATTAGCATTCGGAAAATATACATATAAATAAAGAAGAAAGACAGGCTTTATGTGATCAAATTTAACTTCTGACACAGTGAATATTCTAATGAATGAAAAAATCCGCAAATTCAACCTTACTTTTTAAAGCGTTCCGGTTTTTAATATTGACTATTGATGAGAGTACAATACAACTAAGTCTAAAAAACTTACAAAAAATTCTCCGGTCTTCAAGTAATTCAACACTATTGACTTCTTCACCGTTTTTACTACCGTCTGACTAAAAGCATCAAAACAACAAGAATGACTTGTTTTGCAAGTCCTCATACCTACATAAATTATCTCAATTTGAAAAGATCACAGCAAGATATAGTGACATGGCGACCCTTGGTGGCGGAGATTGGAAGAGTTTTGAAAGGGCGTAGATTAAATTTTACACGCGAATGCTTTCAAAAATGCCTTTGGTGTGAGCCATAAGCAAATACATTAGAGGAAACACAAAAAACAGTCGGTTATTCATCTCATACATCACCATAAATTTGGTCCAAACAGCGAAACAGAAAAGATAAATATTTCATTTTCTAAACCATTAAACTGGAATTTACTTTCTCTTTATCGCATTTTTCATAATATTTTAGCCACATGATCTATTATACGAAAACCGCTGCCAATATGAGTGTATGGTGAGCTCTTATAGAAGATAAATGATCATTTATTTTCTCTATGCTTTCTTACTCGTTCTTGCAATCGCTTTGTAAACGCTTGTTTATTAACAAATTATTAAACGTTTCATAACTGTAGAAAATAAAAAGTATTACGAGAAAAATTATTAATTTGGATATGCTGATTGATGCAATAGACCAAGCAGTGGCTAATAAAATAAACATCAAATCCACTTTATTTGAACAAATAAATTCACGTGACGCATAACTGTATGAAGGTCTATTCACTCGTCATAGACAATCTTGAAACTTGTTATCAACGAGATTTAGTCCCAACGATATCCGTAACCTTACTTGTGCTTAAAAACGCAACAAAAAAACTCCCAATTCCATGGAATTACTGTATAGTTATCGCATTTATATTTTTTTGTTTTTCGCAACAAAATTGTTCACTATTATACGTATCATCGGAGGAAATAAGAAAGACTTATTCTAAACCATGAGCATTTCATATTTTTACTATGTCTCTAAAGTTAAACTAGAGAATTTTGTATACCCTATAATTCTTCTTAAGTCGATATTTATTGATAAAACTTACTTTTTAAATTTGTCGTCTTCTTCCCAAATGATGTCTTCTTGCGTCTTCTTGCCAAATGATGTAACTTAGCGAGTGTCGGGAATTATGAACAAACGTTTGCAGGTAAATCCATGACGACGGTCGTCTACCAATGGAATTCCCTGAAATAGAAACGTTTAATAAATTGCCATGTTTATTTAGAAATTTCAATCATTAGTATTTAAATTGAAAACTGACACGCAGTTTTCTCTCTTTATGTCAGTCTTAAAAATCGATGCGTCATTTCTGACAGTTTCAAAAACAACTTGATCAAATTTTAGACATGTTTCAACAACTTATGAAAACAGTATCTGAAGACGTATATCTCTGTGAGAAGCAGTCTTTAGCAGATAGATAAGGAATCAGTCGTCACATAAGAAGTGAGATCCTGTGGAAAGAAAAGTGTAGCCTTTTAACAAAAAGGCGCTGTCATAGCAGGTGCTATTTGTGACGCTTCCTGTTTTGAAAAACCATTATTAAAACAGCTGTTACAAAAAGGTATTTTACGCGGCTATGAATTTAATTTTGTTTATGATGGTTTAGGTCGAGTAGTGTCGAGACAGGCAGAAATCAAAGAACGAGGCAGTGAGAAAAGATAGATCCAATGGGGAGATTACATATAGAAAGTCTCCCAATCAAAACGCTCACGATACAAGTCGAAAGTTACAAGCAATTTTGGAAAAAATCACTAGAATCGTTGTCAAATCTAGAACGAATGTACATTTCTTGTAGTGTTCACTGTAGATATGATACAATGCCTCATGCAACATGAAAAATGTAACATGTAACAGCATTTTAAGTAAGACGAAGATTTTGTGATGACATTCATAAAGCCTGCATGAATACAAAATTAAGTTAAATCAAAGGAAATAAAACAGTTTCTGGAAACTTTGAATGATAACATTTCCTTGCAATATATGCTGTATTCTTGCAATCAAAATCAGAGATCATGACAGATAACCAAATCCTGTTGAAATTACTAGAGGAATGTCTTCGTGACCTTAAAATCAACGACGATAGTTGAATTGATATGCGTAGATGCACTTTTGTGAGACGAATCTATAATAGCAACTGTTCATTAGAGTAACTTTAAACTTCTCAACCAAACAAGCACCAACAAACAATTGTCAATCACCAACAATTTACACATAAACTCACTCACCTTTCCATGAGTTTCAAAGAAATAATCACAAACAGAGCGACCTAAAACACTTCTCCAATCTTTTTCCAGAAATATATCCTTAATATACGTGAAAGACATCAGAAGACCCAGAGGAAGCATGTTTAGTGTACGGTAATGTTGTGATAACCAAATAACAGTGGAGCATAAGAATTTTCTTTAAAACGCCTTAACTTTTGTAAACATACTTACGGCTACCCTATACGACTCGCTTTAATAATTTTCTCCCGCTTGAAATAGAAAAGATGTACATGTTCTTAACATATTCAACTTTTATGACGAAGTATATAAAAAACATTACATTACATTTTTATGCATTCACGTCCTACATCAATTAAGACCTTTACATACATATATGATCGAATTTAAGTTTATTAATAATCCATACTTCAGTGACTATACATGCAAGTAATCCTTGATATGACTTTATGAACCAATTTCTTGGTCGTTGCTCAAGTTTACAATTTGAAAGTGGCACATGATTAGTTAAAAGTTTGTTATACTTCATTTTCCATCAAGATTACGGTTGTCAATAATATCTTCACTTTTCTTTCCATTGACTTACTTCAATTTTCACAGGATTTATGTTTCCTAAAAACGTTTGCAACGGAAAAATATAGAACTTAATTTTACTTAACGTTGAGAAGGTTGGAAACATTTATACAATGCTTAAAACATACATCTTAAAGAGTAGAAATAAAAGTTCAATGTGACAGAGAAGTATGTTAGTATGCATGGAACTCTAACATGTCTAAGTCGTAAAAATGGGGTATTATTTGAATAGCTTACAGATAAAATGTTTTAGGTCTTGTTTTCCAGTCAGTCGATCTAATAATTTTGTGCACTATAAAAAGAAATAGAAAAAATGTACATGTTCTGAACATATTCAACTTTTATGACGAAGTATATAACAAACATTACATTGGTTATTTGATATAACCATTTTGTGAAAATAAAAACTAACAGGTTGTTTGATGTAACCAAATTTTATCAAAGGAAGTAAAACTGGTTATTTGATATAATGAACTTAAACCACGTTGCCACAAAAATGGTTATTTGAAATATGCAAACTACTAAACCACTAATGCAATTATCATATATAATTAAATAAATCATGATAAATAATGCGATAATGTACTTAAATAATAAAAGCACATTTGGCGCCTCATAGATGTGTAAGATGTTTAATTAGAGAGCAGACAACCATTAACTGTAAGGTATCAACAATTCACAAGGTGTACAAAAAAAATTAGAACATTTTTAAATGACAAGAACATTATCTTTATATCAAAATTTCTCAAAATGTGTCCACGTCTAAGTATTTTCGCATCGCCTGGTTTATCTAAAAGCAAAAAATTAATCTTAAAAGCGGGAGAGCAGTTTGCAACCGCTTGCGCAAAGAAAATGAGAAATTAAAAATCTAATTCAACTCGAAAAGTTGGAAGTTTAAATTCTGTTGTGTATTGCACGCAACGTGTATAAAATGACCGTTCTGGCAATTTTACTGTCTTATTATTTTTATAGATACACCAGACAATGCCAAAATACTTCAAAATGAACACGTTTTTGGGAACTTTTGATAAAATACTGTGTACATCCTTATTCGCGATAACCTTCCCCTGATTTGAACACTCATAAACAAGCACATGATGGGGCAGCAAATACCTATATAACTCGACATCTGAATGCAGTTACTTGAGACAATTCAAAGAGAAGAGACGAAGGCTGTATTGGTATATTGTGTAGCTCAATCTTGACCTTTAGGTTGACTAATGGCTGAAGTGGCTCACTTTAATCTAACATAAAATCTTTGAGCGAGACTAGGTTTTACTTTCAGAACTGCAGCGATCGATGCCTTTTTTAAAAAATGTATGCAGTGTTGCACGCGGATAGCAGTATTTGATATGAACTGGAGCTCAGGTTTGACGAATAAAGTTTGATATGCAAATATTGAGCTTGTGATAGATGCATATAGGGGTTTTATGTTATGTACCCATCACACAGACTACAGAAAGTTCAAGAACGAAGTAGAAATTGACTTAAGAAGGAAAACAATATCAATACTGTCAGATTTAGTAAAGACCGCAAACAAGCAAAATTTATGATAAGATCAAATGCGAATTATGGATATCACTTGAATTACCACGATAAGCGACATTCTGAAAACGTACGTCCTTGTATGTGTAGTAAAGCTCATAAACTTCTTTGTACCCATTTAATGTATACAACAAAGGTCCATTTTTAACTCTTCAGAGAGTGAAAACATCTTAGTCTGACATTGAACTAGAATTTGTAGCTTGCAAATAGTACGACCAATCGTTTAGGTTATTAGTTAAATTCGTCCGATTTGTGCAATGTATCAATTTTTGAACAATACTTGCACTTTGTGTATTGTAATGAAGTACAATTAAATCATAAAGGTTTCATGACTTTCTCCATTTTCAATGTTTGTACTAGACTCCCTAAAGCTTCAAAAAATAAGGGTGGAGTATATACTATACTCGTCGACTTTAACCTCACCCCCAAATTTAAATCTGTTCCTACGCCTATGTATCAATCCTATGTATATATCTATGAAACACGAACCATTGGTGTTGTGGCTGGGGTACAGCCAGGGGGGAATACCCCACGAATGATTTGAGGGGAGACACCACTACCAGAAGACATATGGCGGCCGCCAGAACGCATCTTTACAAACTCCTCTAAATTTATTTCAGGAAACAAAATTCAAACAAATAAAACCACTGAACGGCGGAACGGAACAGAAAAAATGGCGGACGGATCTATTTCTGCTGAGATTCACCAAAATTGACCAATATTATTTCGCATTGTAATACAATTTGTAATCAGAATGATACAATATTTTGATCTATTCATATCCAACACTTTGTCGCGTTTTTACTCAAAATGACAAGGAACATATAATAAACAGGCACCGCGGAGGATCGATAATTGGGGCTAATATTCATATATTCATATATGCAGGCTTAAGATCTTTTGAAATCCATTGTTTTCTAAGGATTAAAACATGAATATATGAATATGAGCCCCCAATTATCGATCCTCCGGTGCCTGAAACTTGTATGCCGAAGGTTCATCTGAATTCTCAAAAGCTCTTTTTTGATGACGACATTAACTTAAAACTGACTTATTTTGTGTTGTTCAACACCTAAACTTTGTGAATTATAGCTTTGGAAAATCGTCCAGTTAAGAAGCACAAATGCCTCTTAAGCTATTTTTATAGTTATTATGGATATTATTATTATCTTACACAAACAATCTCATGAAGGGATTTTGAATCGAAAATGCTTAAAATATTGGGCGCAAGGAGACGTAAAATATCCTGAGATGACGAGATTACAAGGAAAATCATAATCAAGGAGTATATGTTGAATGTTAGAAAGTATATCACTACGTATGGCAGATACAATTTATAAGTGCCTTATACATAAATTTGATAGTATAACTTACTTTCATAGTCGGGGTAATATTCCGTTCCTTCATCTTTAGACTCGTAACGTTCTGTCAATTGAAAAGTCACCAAACGTGTGACAGTATTTTAGTCAATAAAATTCGACACAGAAAAAACCTTAAAGATATATCTATAGTTGGTGCATAAAAGACATAAAATCTCTAGACGACAATTATCGAGATAAAAAGATGAATAAAATGTATGTATGTTCTACGATAAAATATTGGTAAATATATTCATATTTTTGCATGTATAGCTTACACACAATTTACGAGGATCTCGCATCAATTTGATTGTATATAACTTACCGTCATCCATGAAGTAACTTTTCATTCGTTGAAGGCAACTCTATAAATTCTGTATTATCCAAGGTAAATACATCGAACTTAGGAAATTCTACAATCATAAGTACATATTTATCAAATCTTCCTCTTTCTCACTCGTTGAAATGAAAAGATTAAAATAGAATTCTTGCACAGTTTTAATATCCAATCATTAAGGCGTTTAAATTACATATAACATCATAACCTTCAACGCCGTACGTCAACAAAGCAACTTTCCGTGATTATTAGCCTTAACATAGATGAAAATCTATAAAAATTAACATACGCAGGAAGAAAATTTTCAGAAATTGTACTCATCCTTGTTAAACGTTACTTGTATCAATGTTTTAAAACATTCAACTGTATGAAGTTAATTGTCAAAAATCTACGATATCATTTGATGCACGCCAAATAAGGGTGTTTTTTTTTACAAATTATTGTCGAAACAAAAATATTTATCATAATAGTAGCAAAGTAGCTACATCTTAGGGGAAAGCTTATTATTCACAGATTCTAAAAATTATGATTACCCAACAAAACAACAAAATCACAAAAAATTTGTCTCAGCTACAAGGTAGCTATAACAAGGTAGCTATAACAAGGTATAGAAAAGACTACTATCGTAAAGTTTCATCTTTATAAACTTGATTTAAAACAAATTAAGTGCAATGGTTTACTTTCACCAATTATGATGAAGCTAGCACAATCAGGGACACCTTAAACTCAGTGAGGCAATGGGGTCTTTGTCAATGTGAACGAAATTAGAAGTTACTTTTTTCCGTACAAATCTCTACCACGAAATTTAAAAGCATAAAGACCAATCCGCTTATTGTAATCACGGCAAATGGAACGTTTTATAGTATAACTGTTTAATGTTTGTGATTAACCATTGATTGCAGTCGACTAGATTTAAAAAAACACAGGAGATTCTAAATTTGGACAACCGAATCAAACAAGGCGCTACCATGCAACACCTAATGAGAAGAAAAAAACCTTAAAGGTATTGGCATGTGAGATATACAGTATTAGAATTTAGAATAGTCCGTTCATCTAAAATGCAAGAATTCATTGAAAAATGTGATATTACGCGTGTCAATGACACACTTAATTGCATAACTATTTAAGATGCAACTATTTAAAATAACAAGAAAAAGATCTTTGTTCATTCGATACTAGCGATACCGAGAATTTGTCTATTTTTATTTTCCTATTATTTTTCTAATCGAATTTTTCCTGGTAAATGTTCAAAATTATTTTTTGTTAACTGTAACTAATAAGAGACTGAAAGATATGTGTTAAAAACAGAAATTGGGGATTTGTACATGGAATTAAAGACAATTACGCTCAAAAAAACTAAATTGAATTTGTGAAGTCTTTTGTTTTGTATAAAGGTAATAACAAAATGTAAAGAGTTTTTTATTTAGGCATTGGAGGTTCGATTTAATCGCCAAGAGACTAACTTTCTATCTTTTAGAAAAATCCAATACAAACTATTGGCGATTGAATAAAACGCCTGACGCGTGAAATGCTCTTAAAATGGTTATTAGGGTATTGAAAGAATTCCCAAATGCAATCTAGAATAGCAACGTGTAGTTTTTATCCAGTAAAGAACATGTCACAACTATGTTTGTAAAAATTCTCTCACCTTTAAAAGTTCCAACAACCTCCACTTCTTTACCATTTTTGCTTCCGTCTGACAGCACGAATGCCTTTTTCTACAGCTCGTGACCTCGAGAGAAATAAATATTTCTTTTACAATGTAGCATTTCAAATTCAAAAGATCACAACTTTAAAAATATGCTATATGGAGATTTCTCTAAGCAGATTTCGTAAATGACTGCATTTCAGTATGCTCACAATCGTAAAGTTGAAATATGTTTAAAAAAAGTATCGTCTACAAATAAACGGTTATTACAAATAAACATTAATTCCAATAAATCTTGCGTAAATCTACCAATAGCAAAACACAACTTGTTTACGAATGGACTGTTTCTTAAATTATTGAACTGGAATTTTCTTTATATCATACTGGATGATGGCTTGGGCAGCAAGTAAAAATCCTTACTTTATCGTTTCTGTCACCATTTTGTTGATCTTGCAACCTTGCTCATGAAAAAACTTCGGACATTCTGTGAATTTGACAAAATGCATTAACAAAAATAGGTACGCTTGCGTACACGTGGGAAGCCTGTAAAACAGGAGACGCAAAAAGATTGAAACAAGTGGAGTTGCAGTCACTTTAACACAGGATAAGAATTTTCTAGTATGCATAAATTTAACAGTTCAAAATTGTTATGAGACCATTTGGCAATTGCGATGAAATATGAGTTATGTTTGATCCCATTTATCTATGCTTCAAGACATGATATTTAAATTGTTCAAACAACATTGCTATTTTGAAACATTGAATTCATTGATTGACAACTTGTTTTATCATGATACTTTGAACTCCTGATAATAACAACAGAATTGTTATTGACTGTGGGGGGTTGAAAAAAGGTTTCAACTTTTTGTAAATAAGAAATATGATATAAAGGCAGTGCATAGAGTGTCATCACAGACATGATATCTGCCACTCTCTTGTTTTGCATAGCCTAATTTCTCGTACAAATAAAATAACTCACCTTCAATGTTGCAAACAGACCAGTGAGACCTCTCCCAGAAAATTGTACAGCTCAATATTAGTGCAAACTAGATAGACAATAATGAGTAATTGTAAACAAACATTAAAAATACTCATTGCAGATACATTTTCATTCAGTGACTACGTCCGCATGAATTTAGCATGATAATAACGGAAACCAACAATTATATACTTTTTTGGAGCCCATTTGTAGATAGTAGAGGTATTTTTTGATTGCATAACAAAATAATGTGTTAATGAAAACTATTAGTAAGAAATGGCTTTAGGTGCACTTATGTAAGGAATTCTCTTTTCAATAATACAAAAATCAGGTGCACCTTTACGTGAAAATATGATCTTGGGCCGACTCTGGCCAGCAAGGATATGAATTTTCCAAAGTATTTTTTCACAACAGAGGAATGTTTTCAGGAAAATAGGCCTGAAATTAAATAAGCAAATACTTGATTTAATAAAGTTAGATATAATTACTGGTAAACAAAATAATAGCACATACAAACAAACAAACAACATTTATATACCGGCCAGTATTAATCCCCGCCAGGGGGGTTGACCGGTCCATGAATTTTTCCACGCCACACATCTCTATCTCTCGCCATATCTCTCGTTATACCCATCGCCTTCATATCACTGTTCACAACATCCATCCATCTCTTTCTCGGTCTACCTCGTTTGCGGACTCCATCAACATTCATATGCAACGTTCTACGAATTTCAGCACTTTCTTCCCTCCTTTCCACATGCCCAAACCACCTCAAACGCTGGCGTCTTACCCAATTCTCGATACACTCAACACCAACTCTTTCTCTAATCTCTTCACTTCGAATCCTATCCATCAACGTTACACCACACATCATCCTAAGCATTCTCCTTTCCGTCGACGCCAATCTTCTCAGGTCCTCTGCTTTCGGCGCCCAACACTCTGCTCCATATCCCAAAACACTTCTAACACATGCCTTATACAATTCTCCCTTCTGCTTCAACGAAGTCGACTTTCCGCACAACATTCCCGACAACTCTCTAAAACTCCACCACGCTGCTTGAACTCTGTTCCTCACCGCTTGCTCGCACCCTCCACCATCATTTAACACATCGCCCAGATATTTAAACTCCGATACACCTTCCAAACTCACGTCACCCAGTTCAAACCGTTCAATCGCGACTCGCCCACCACTTCGAAAAATAATAGCACATAATAAATGCTTAAAATTTCTCAACTAAATAAGTCTTCATTTTCAACATATCACAAGTGCTTGATACCTTCATATCAATCACCAACAATTTACACATAAATTCATTCACTTTTCCTGAAGTTTCAAAGAAATAATCACAAACAAATCCTAAAACACTTCTCCAATGTTTTTCCAGAAATATATCCCACAATCACCCATGACAACATTTTTGTCTAACCTTGGACATTCGTTTGGTGGACTATTTAATGTTATGGCATTTTTCATTTTATCTTAGTATAATTGCATTAATCATGTCAGGTGATACCACAAATAAAAATAAGCCTTCACTTTGTAGCCCTTGTTCAAGCTTTTATTTAATATCTTACTGCAACTTATCTCACTATATCCCATTCAAATTTAATTATAAATTACATACTTAAATAATTACAAGCTAATATGCACAAAACCAACAAAAGAGCCTGAAGGGGAAATTTTATCTATAACCATTAACCAATACCTGCATAAAACTATTTTCATTTAAGTTCATTTTGTAAATATATATATTTTTGCTAACATTTAATAAAGATGTTTCCATTTGAAAAAAATTCAAAACATTCATCTTACTTGTCCCCAGTTACTTTCTTCAGTCGATAATAAAACTTATTATTTTTCCATGGCCTGATGTCTTTTGAACAGCCACAAACGTCTGCCATCCACAGCAATCAAACACAACTTCCTAAACTGCATAAATGATCGGTGTAAACTAACAAACCAACAAGGGCATAGAGAGGAAATTTGGTCTATAAAAAACATTAACCCACATATATCTATCATATCTCATATCTACTCACATTGAAGCGTTGATGATAAACAAACTGTGAATCATTGTGATATCTACATATACTAAAACTATAATAATATATTTCTCGTTTACTTAACTAACTTTGATAATTACAATACTATTTTCATGTGAGTTCATTTCGTAAATATTTACTAATTTTATTTATATTATACGTACAAAACCAACAGAAGAGCTTTGAAAGCAAAACAAATATAAAACCAATACATACTGTCACTACAGACTCACCCTGAATGGTTGATGATAAACAAACTATGAATCATTGTAAAATCCACAGATAATAAAACCTATAAAAATGTATTTCTCCTTTACTTAACTAGCTTAATGGTTATAAAATTATTTTCATGTAAGTTCATTTCGTAAATATTTATTTATATTATTGCTAACATTTAAACAACATTTAAAGCGATGTTTCCATTTAAAAAAAATCAAGATTCATGTAATCATCTTACTTGTCCCCAGACCACTGAAGACTCAACGGCCTTTACCAGCTGGCTTACCTAACTTATCTTTATTTATGGTCGGGAAGATTTCCGTCTCAATCCCATGATCCTCATTGATAACAAGTCAATGAATTGTAGGAGTCCCAAACATTTATAAAATACCATGCACTAGGTACAAGGAGAGATGTTCTGTTTTAGTCGATTTTAATTTTGTTTATAAAAACGTATTTCGACATAGGAATGGACCGTGACTTCCTTCAGTTTTTTATGCACATGCTACAGAGTCCCCAGAATCTACAAACATGCTAAAACCTTAAACATAGACGACATTCTGGAAAATAACTTTGTTCAAATCCCGAGTTTAATAAATAAGTCTCATTCTACTCGCTACGAACGCCCTGCAGTGGGCTAGCTGTTCGAATTTTGAAAGCTTGTCATTTGCATCATACAATACGATTTATACCAAAATGCTGAAAATCTTCCTTAGCAATGACAATGTACATAATATCCACATCCTTATTAGCCAACCCTTTCTTTGATAACGGATGCACTTTAGTGAAGTCTTGCTGGCGAGGGTTGTTATATTTTTATGTTTAAAAGCATAACATTGACTGGTAAAGCCGCTGAATGCATTGCAAACAATCGTTCTTTCAACCAATAACTTAGTGTAGAAAGTTGGAGTACAAAACATGAACAAAGGCATTAAATCAATTCACAACAACAAGTTTGGAAAATACTCTCAGGCTCATGTCATTGACTAGGTTTGGTTATTACATACACCTTGATATTTCGAGCAGACACCTCTTTTCTTCTGGGATTTTCTGTCGGTACAACAAGAAAACAAGCCCAGAAATATATAATAAACACTTGCATATAAAACAATAAATTCAACCGCAAGGGCTTCGAAAAGTTGTGTGTGTTCCATACTAACTTTGTGGTAATTCACAATAGTTAAACTAGTGTAATAAATTTTTTGATATTTAATTCGATTTTCTTTTTCTTTAACTGCATCATGTCACCCTCATTGAAAAGTTGGCACATCTGTATAAATCAAGTATTCAATTTTTTATCAAATCTTTTAAAATGCTCTAAATCTAAAAATTGGAAGTTTCCGAACGTACATAGCTTCCCGACTCCTGAGCCATTTTTTTTTTTGTAGAGCTTAACAATCAAAAATTAAGCAAAAATTTAATTGACAACAAGCAAAGACGAGTTGCATTACGAGCGAGTTGTTGTTGACATAATTATGAGATTAATGATTTATTTTACTGCATTTGTGTTTAATTTGTAGTTTAAATAGCCATCAAAATAAAAATAATCTGATAAAAATTCTTCTCTCAAGACGAAAAGCTTATCATTAGATAACTGATAACTCACAAGTAATTGCGAAAATTGTCTTTTGTAAAGCAAGGCATGAGAAATATGGATGTTTCAATTAAAATAACGAAACATGGTAGAGTCCCTCGGCAGTATTCATACTTTGAGTTCCGTACACACCAATGATGCACACTACAGTAATAGAATCAATGGAAATTAACTGAAAATGTGGAATCTTGACCTAACAAGTAACAAATGACTGAAAGAGACAGATCTGGCGAAGTATTTAAAAGACTGAAATTCATAAATGCAAGCTTGTGGCTTAAAACATACGATCTTTAGTCTCAAAAAAAAAGCAACAAAACTAAGCCAAAATAAACAAAAATTCAGCAACTTTGACTTCGTCATCATTACCTCAACGTACACAGATTTTCTTTTAACAATTTCAAAGCTCCAATAAAAGAAATACTAGGAAATGATCACAACCTCACATGAAAGTGTCATTTTATTCAAATATTACCAATTTCCCCAATTCAATAAGTTGTTCTTTTTATGCATATCAATCTTTTACCCTTTGCAGTGGTACTGTAGTGACGCACATAAACTAAATAGCGTTCTAGTACATTGAACTCACGCTCGGAGCTCATACGAAAGACTTATATAACGCTAAAGTACAACGGATGTTGAGCACAGATCGAGCAACTCCTTAATTGCGTTACAAGTCATGACATCCATATTATATTGTTATATATAATTATATGTATTGTTATACATTGTTATACTTGAAGAAATGCTATGTATTACTAAATTACACATGTTAAAATTTATTGTATATTTTACATAAGAAACATGATGTATGGAAATCAAATTTAAATTTCATTCGCCTTCAGTTTTAGATCGTTAGTCAGATAAAAAAATAGTTAATTATATAACATTGTAAAATCCAATGAAAATTCATAGCAATCTGGCATGTAATATCCAGCTTGGTTTCTTGATTAACTTGCTTAAGAGACTCAAATTAAAACATACATAAAAGAGGATCTTGAATTGTGGTATCATTGATTTCATTCTTGCCAATTGCTTTCCCATAAAACTCTTTTGCAGACAATAAAAAGACTTCATTGATGTGCACATTTTAGCTTTAAATTGAAAAAGATAATGTTCTTGTTTTTCCATTCGTCATTTGATTTGACCATTTACACTTAGGATAAATCATGCAAATCAATAAAATAAGTAAAATTAGCTGCTAAAAGGATTAATAACTCTAAGCGAAAACTCTCTTCTTTTTCTAAGCAAGCATTTTTCGCTATTTCAGCATTAATGCATACGACGTGAAAGAATTTGTTGACTTAAAGCAAAGTATACGCAATATTTACTATTGCATATGTGTTCTTTAAAAGTTTGACAATATAATAAGCTATAAGCTTCTTTTTACCATACGATAAAAATATGCCAAAGTCTCTGAATCACCATGATTCGTAGGTACTCTTCACTATCTTTGGATATCTGACAAATTGTTGATCTCATCTAAAGATTTTTGACTATTGCTAGTACTATCACACATGCTTGAACCGTTATTTTCAGTTGCACAAAATTAGAAAACGATGCACCAGATACAAGTGAAGAGATTACGGTTTTGGTAGAATATTTAAGAAAAGTGACACGTACACAGCATTAATTTGTTGTTACATAGCTATTTACCGTTAAGATCAGCGTAATCAATAACAGCTTCGCTTTTCTTTCCCTTGCCTTCTTCAAGTTTTACAGCATGTGCACTGTCTAACAAATGTTTGCAATGGCAATATACAGAATTCAAAACATATATGCATTAAGTACAGTAAATGAAGAAGAGAACTAGAGTGAAAATAACAAATATAGTGTCATGGACCCTAATTTATAGCTTGGCCATCAAAATGAAAACTCATTTCTGTGTCTTACTTGGAAAATGTTTCTCTAGATCAGGTCTTGCCTTCCAGTCACTCAATCTTATGGCTCTGTGAACTAGATAAGGCAGTTCCTCAAAAAGTTGAAGAAAATACTCTTGATAGTTTCCATCTTTAACACATGATGACAATTGTGGACGAGGTTTATCATGCAATGCTGGCGAACGTTTCGTAAAAATCTTAGGCAACCTAACCATGTAGAGTCGGATACTTTATTGAAATGATTAAAGAATTCAGGATCGATACGGTCCATCCAATTTATTGAAAGATTCAACTGCTCACGAAGATTTGAGGGAAGAGAATGTCTTTATTTGAGGGAAGAGATGTCTAATTTGAGGGAAGAGATGTCTTTATTTCTGGTTCATTCCCAACATCACACAGAAAAGCGAAATTCTCCTTATCGGTTTGTAGATAAGGGTGTTTTAACGCCTTTTTGGCCGATGGTCTGTCTTCCGGTTTTAGCTGTAGCATCCACGATAAAAGGTCTTTGAGCGTGGAATCCTTGATTTCGTCCAAGCCAACTGGGTTTCCTTTCAAAATGTTGTCCAGTCTATGCCGTTCAATTCCAAAGGATGTTTTCCCTTTGTTGCAACATAATAAGCCACCATTCCGGCATTCTATTTTCAATAAAAATGGAGTTAATTTATTTGTTACTTGCAAAATACAAGTTCAGTTCGAAAAATCAGAATAATGTTCTCCAATTAAGAATCGTAGCCACAAATTTTTAGAGCAATCTAAATGAGAGACATACAATCGTAAAATCAATAAGGCAATAACAACAATTTATTATCATACATATACATATTTTTATATTTATACAGTACAATTTGTATTTCGCCACTATATGACTGTACAATGAAGGTAAAGAAAAATTATATTTAAAAGTGATAATGATCTCAGTGGCAGTGATTATGATATCCCTACCAAATACAACATTCAAATGCAAAAACAACATTGACCTGTGGTTGGCCTCTATTTCTACTTCAAGAACTTACCATAATGTCAGACTCCTTTTTGTAACGAACTTTATTAATTGTATCATCTGATGCGTCATATGACTCTGGAGCTATCCAATATTTAGCTCCTCTTTGTATGCTCCAATGTGTCGAAGATTCATCAGATAACATATGACTTATACCAAAGTCAGCGATTAAAAAATTTCCTTGTACATCTCGAAGAACGTTCGAGGGTCTTAAATCCCGATGAAGAATAGGACGCTCACCGCTGTGAAGGTGAACTAGACCATTTAAGATCTGAATAAGAACTTTAGGAACGACCTTTTGAAGATCTTGCAAAGAAGAAGATTTCACATAACTCTCTAACGATTCTTCACACAAATCTAATATCAAATACAAATTATCTGTGCCTGGTTCTTCTTCAAGAAACCAATAATTCACAACATAATTTGAACGCTTTGCATTCAACTCATTCAAAATATCTTTTCTCGTTTGCTAACTCCGCGCAGTTATCCTCGAAGCAATCGTTTTACTGCTTTTCCGTAACCATCTGTTCCGAGTCCAAGGTAAACACGAGTTCCATCACTTCCTTTACCAAGCAAAAACTCTTCAGAACAAATAACCTTTACACCATTCACAAGTTTAACTTTTCTTGGATATTTCTGCCCATATTCTTCCATCATTCTGAACTTTTGCTGGTGCATTATTGATTTATCATAACATTTCCATGGTTGAGACAGCAATTCTTCAATCAAAAAGTAAAGTGGACTATTTAGAAAGGAATAAATGAATGTATCAAGAAGCAATTTAATTTTCTAATTATACACACATCAAGAAAATGTGGCTATTAGACAAGATTTGAAATACCTACACCGCTTTGCCCTTTAAGGTGAACTGACTTTTATATTTAGCTACTGAATAATGACATAATAACATGTTTGCCTTGTCTTGAGTTTATTTGTATTAACAGCGTATTTCCCTGCTCCCAAACACACGGATGAGGGATATTTAGTTCAAAGGACGTTGAGGGACGTCAGGATCGTTTCACTTTAAATGCGAAAACATTGAGATTGAAAAATCAAAGATGAAAGCACCTGTCGAGGTGAAAAGAGTTCGGAGAATTAAAGAACCTAATGTTTTTAAGGTTACCTTCTGAAAAGCTTGTGTTTTGACCAGAATTATTGGCTTTTATTGGCTATCAATAATCAAATAATATGTTTTAAAAGGATGTTTTCAACAATATTCTATTTAAGTTCATTTGTGTACATGTAACGTATACATAAAACTGACACGTTGATCATGATGGTTTTCATAATTTACTTTTAGCATCATAGCCAGTTTTCACTTTCTATGCATACTGATCAAATTTCTATGTTTACAAAGTTTAAAATTTTTACATGATTTTGATCCACAACATTTGTATTGTTTTTGAATTAAACGATTTTAGTTGGCTACATATAACGATACCTTTTAAAATTAATATATTGGGTTATAAATTATTGTTTGTGTTTAGCGTTGAAAACCATGGAAATGTTTGGGCAAATGTTTGCTAACACGGTTAATACATCAGAGCAAGATAAAAGGAATACTTGCTGAGTTATTTCACTCTTCATCACATCTCACATTTTTGACCGTTAACAAAAGTATGTGAATAAGGAAGATATAAACGAATCTCAATGGTTACATTGCATTCTTGTTTCTACTTAATATTTCAAAAGGCAATAAAGATTACGTTTGTGTAAATATTTGCATATAAAATTCCATTACTTACTAGGTCCTGATGTAGAAGACGTTATACCAATATCAGCATCACTGTCATTATCATTTAGTAGATATAGCAACGATTCCTTTTCTTCAGAAGCTGAAGCAATGTAAATATGAAACATTTAAGTATGATAATATTACTAAAAAGTATTGCAACAAATGTAAGCTTTTATTTGTTAAACTCCACACAAAAAGAAAGTTTCCTTCTAGCTATTTAACTTTTTAACAGATTTTTGGGAGCTGTAAATGGCTGTTTGTTTCCGACAAAGTGTCATATATTTTGTAAACAAACTTGATCATGCTGATTTCGTTGTGACTGTAAGATGGTCTTACTAGGAAGAATCGGAGCGTATTTTTACCGAATCAAAAAAAGATGTTCAAAAAATTATGTTAACTATAGGTATTTGGCTATGCCCTCGAATGGTACGCAGTACTTTTACTTTTTACTAAAGTCTGTTTTCCCTTTAATACTTTCTACATTTAATGCACATTATTTAGAGTTCTATTCAAGCCTAAAATCAAAGTAATTTAGTCACCAATAATAACAAATGATAATCGGATCGGTAATGCAAATTTTAGATGTTTTAATTGATGATCAGAAAAAGAAATATCCAAAAGGATTTGAGACGTTTGCAAATCATATTAGACATAATGCAATCCTGGTGATATTTTCGTCGTCCTCTTTCCTAAAGATAATCTGGATGAGCGACGCAGGTATTCTAGTTTAAAAATGATAGTTCTCGTTTTCTTTTGAAAGCTTGTCTCAAAGATTTCTTTAAATCTTTTTTGAAAAATCTGCTAGTTCTCATGTAGATAACATGTGAAAACTACATTTTAATTCACATTTTTGTAACTTTTTCATCAATGAAAAACAAAATGTATCAGACAAAATAAAAATGATGGTCCCATAATTTAAACTCTTATGTTTCTTCAACTTTAATTAGCAACATGTAGTTAATGGAATTCACACAAAACATTAATATACAACATACAAATGACACACAAAAGTACATGAGTAAAACAAAATACAATTGACTACTCTACTGACCTTAAACTTTGTTTATAGTAAAAACATCAATACATTTTTCATAAAAATAAATGTATAAAATAAAATGGTAGCATCATGTAACCTTTTACTTTATTCTTTTAATGCAAAAGTTCAATTTTCTCAGTTTTTTGAGTAGCTAAAATATACAGTTAGAAAAAATTGTATCAATATAAACCAACTTCCTTCAACTATACTCAGCTACGCTTCGGAAGATAACATTGACCTCGGTCTGAATAATTCTTGATATCATGCTTAGCCTCATCCATTAATTGCTAATTACGCGCGGAAAATAGCCTCCTTGTTGAAAATAGCCTTAAAGTACATTCATCACAAAAAAATTACAATTGTCGAATAAAATAAAAGTGCCCTCTTGAAAGAAAGTGATTTCATCACTTGTTTACAAGGCCAAACAAGAACAGATTGTAACGAATCAACACTGTACATTGGTATGACGGCCGGATGTTTCGAGCGTCACACCAACCATACTCATCGTCCCAGCAATCGCATATAAACGGAACTGAGCTATTTAAATACGCATGGCTCAAGGAACGAGACAAACCATTTAATATCTCATGTTGTCTGCAGTAAAGTGCGTATACCGTCAAGATTAGCATAAAGCAAATTGTATTGTGTATGTTTGGAAGAAATAATTAACATCATGAAGTCAAACCGAAAGTACGAAACATCCGAGATGTTAGCTAAATGCCTTGATAGGAAGTGCTTTTTGCGCATTTATGAATATTAATATTTGTATGCTTTTTGTTTTGCAACGTTTTCATGCTTCATGCATCACTTTCAAGCAACGTATAAGTACATAACCATATTAAAAACAAATAACGTAAAACGGTGTTTGAAGGTCATGATTGCAATAATTGTGTTAAAGTGATGAAAATTAAGTAAAATATTAAATAAATAAATTAGACCTAGTTACAGAATCAAAAAACATTTTGCAGACATCCAGCATAAACGTACATATCTACACTCAAATCTACTTCAATGAAAATTAATATGACTATTGTTTAAACGATTCTTAATGACAATGAATTTAAACATACGATGGAAGTCAGGCTATACAGGTCATGAATACAATGACATTTGCTTTGTGCGATGTACATTTAAAGATTCGACAGATTCAACATAGATACGTCAATTGCAGTCTAAGAGAACTGTCAGCAATGTATAGTACTATCAAAATGTTATTTAGAAAATAGTATCCACTGACGAGCAATGGATTACATGCGCAACAGGAAACCGACTACACATGCAGTATTTCTACACATGTATGCAACGTGTTTTTTTTTTAATTTTAAGATTGGTGTACTTCATTAAATACATCATAACGGAAAACAAAAAGATAAATGAGATTTCGTAGTTTACGTGAATCATCAAAAATCAGCATCATGTAAACATATATTGAAAAGACTTATCTACCTGTTTTTGGAAGTTCACCCAAACTTCTTTCATCGTCTACTATAAAAAATAACATGAGACATACGTACGTCTGTTTTTTGTATCAAGTATGTTGTTTAAATGTAATTCAAAGTTATACATATTTATACATATATAACTTTGAATTATATATTCAAACAATACTTGATATGATTTACTACCCAGTGTTTCACGCCTATATTGACGATTTTCAGTTAAATTAAAATAATAAAACTATGGCTCTGTTAATCAGTGAACTTATGTACTAATCATCCTGTAGATGATTCACTGAATATTCAAATTTAAATTGAATCAGTGGTTTAACTTAACCTTATAGTAAGAATGCAACAACCAACGTTGCAAACATTTAACCACCCTCTTTAAATCTTTATAAAATCTTAACAGCACAAATCGTCCAATATTAAAAGCACAATCGTCAACCACAACCGTTCTATCACAAATAAATCTAAAGCCTTTTTTTAACCAGGCGGGATTTTCCGCGCGCGACGCTAAATTTGCAACATGATTGGTTGTCATACAATAATGACAAAATCATCTACCAATCATGCGCGTTATTAAGCTCTTAATAACCGAGCTCGAGGTCTTTACGGAGAAATATCGGACCGATGTCTTTTTGTAAAGACCGAACCCGTAGGGCGAGAGAACATCAACACTAACTTGGTTCAATTGATTTATCAACTGAACTTTTAATTCTCCCCGTATCTCCTTCACGAGCCTCAGAGCTTTACTAAGATGGAGACTAAATTAGGATATCTTAATTAAACCAAGTTGAAATATTTATTTAACATTTACACCTTAACGTAGCCAGCCTGCACATTTCCTATGGTTATGTAAATTCTCATGGATAACCATTATTCATCTTTTTATAAATCTATTGTTCTCACAGCTAGTAAACACAAAAACATTTGGATACAAGCGGGAGTAAAAAGTCGAGCTGGCTATGTTACTGCATTTACACCTTACACAATAATACATTGACCTAAATATTATATAAGCAATCATGTAAAGCAAACTCTAAAGTTTATCTCCAACCTTACTTTTGGACATGAAAGTAAAACATGTCAGACCAAGCCTCAAGAACTTGGAGTCATTATTCGAAAACTAATCCTTGCAGGTGAGGAGTGGCGTTGCTATCCCACAAATTTAGTCCTGCTATGTAAATTTTAATGTGTTTACTTACTGTGAAAAAACAGATGGGAAAAGAACAATAATGATCTGAGATTTACATAGCATAAACAAAACTTGTGGTCTGGTTGTATGTACAAAACTATACTTTGATGCAACTGCTCAATCTGACAAGATCGTGCTTTGCTTTGAAAAATTAGACAACCACTCATTCCAACTTCACTTACCAGTTCTTTTCTCGTTTTCATTTAACTGCATGATTCCATCAACGGTGTCTTGGAACTTGATCAGGCAGCTTAACATCCAAATCCCTTTCTATCTCATGAGCTAAACCTCCTTGCTTACACTCTTTCAATGCTAGGAGCAGTGCTCTTACATTGGCATGTTGTCCGTCTCTATCAAACCAAGTGTCCAACACATATCGTGGGGTTACCAGAGAATTTCTCAGCAATGATGTTTTCTTTACCTTGTGGCAAATTCACTGCTTTGTACAGGCTTGAAAAAGTCAATTTGTGCTCAGTTAAGGAATAAAACTTTACTAAAACATTTAGTTACCTAAAGATAAAACATCAACTGAGTTTAAAAACTTTAATTCATTTGAAAATCACCTTCTCCAGTCATTCTCTAATAACTCATTGCCTTTGTTTAAGCGTTCTTCTAACTTTCTTTGAACATGGTCAGGTAGATCTGAACAGGTCGTTTCAAGATTAAACTGGGCTGTGGTCTGCCCAGTCAGATGAGCATTTGTTGACTCCTGATAGAATTGTCTCTCATCAATTAGTTCACCAGAATGAGTAGCTGACAAATCAGTGAGATGAATTTGACTTACAGGATATGTAAAGGGATAAATATTTATATGTAATAACAAGGAGGAATAATTATTACATTTTTTACATACCTTTTATTGACTGCCTCAAATCATGGGCAAGTTGCGGCTGATTTATATCTAAGGTTTTGAAAAAACATTGGAATGCATCAGGCCCTAAACGCGGAAGCACATCACATATAAGCTTTTCCACTTTTTTGTCCAAAGATAGTTCTTGCAACACAGCTCTGATGTTGACACCAGGATTTCTGCTTGTGATCGCCACATTGTTGGATAAACTTTCAACCATTTGAGCGACATTAAGTGATTGCTTAAATGTGGACAAATGGCTCACAAGAATTTGACGATGGACCTCTTTCATTCCAGGCTCTTCAGTTTCTCCTAAGTAAGACAGTGGTAAAATAAATGGTTTAAAACTTTCTGATGTTTCTGTTTATATATAAGAGGATGGTTTTTCATTAAAACTTCTGCAAGTGAAGTCGATATTTGCATTCTTATCATCTAGAGAATTTTACATCTTCAGAATGAATAAATAATAGACAGGCAAACAAGCTCACAGTACGTAATATATAACAGTATAAGAAATAAAAAATGTCGTACTTTGCGTGGCATTTTGAAGTATATGGTTCAGATTAAGTCCGGCTAAATCAGCCAAGTGTTCCCCAACCCATCTTTGAACTTTAAGTGTCGCTCTAATAAAGGATATGAATGCTTCATCTCCTCGCCGATGCAGCAAATTAAGAAGTTCCAAAGTACGAGCTTCAGGGGTGGATTCTGCTCGAATTTTGTCTTCGCAGTTACGATCCAGAACGTCCGTCATTTGTGGCCAAACAGCATCAACCTCAAGATTTCGTTTGATATATTCCCTGTTTTTTCTTAAAAATTCGCGATGCGCCTCAGACATCGCCATTATCACCGAATATCCGAAATACAGGCACTTCGATTTCGTTGTAAACTATTCTAGAGCTTTTCTACACCTAAACATTCCTTGGTAAAGTTACAATTCCCACTTCCCATTCATCGCAATGACAGTGGTAATGACGTGTGAAGGTTTTTCCCCCGCTGGGCCGCTTCCCCAAACTCGTTCAGCGTCTTACCCAGGGTCCTGCTCTCCCCTGTTTTTCAGCAAATTTTCATCTTTATGAAGCAGCTCGATGAAGAAGAAATAACATTATTTGTCTTCTTTTTAACATCAAATTGAACAAGCTATTGATAGTTTGGTCAGTAAAGAAGTAAATGTGTATATTGCGTTGCTGAATTATAGAGAAAATTCCTAGCCAACACTGTATTTTTATAATTTTTTGTTCTTGTACATTTGTACTTTAGGAATACAAATTGACATGAATGACATAATGACTATTTATCAGTAATATTTTTAAGACTAAATTTAGGGTAATTATGTTAAATGGATAGTATTGCTTGGTATTACCCTGGTATTGCCGATTTGCAATCGATTCCGACTAATGATTCTGACAGATGGGATACAATGAACTGGTCATTGTTTGGTGGGTTTCGAAATGGCCTAGTTTTTGTTGAAAAATCATTGGTTTTGTATGAGAATTTTGAAATTTAACTATGCTGTTATGTTGGTTGAGCTAATGTGCATTTTGACGTATACATGCTTCATACAAAGTAATTAATTTCATCCTTATAACCTTTGCTATCTCAGGTGGGATGACTTGACTGTCTGTCAAGCAAAGTCGCACTCTGTTATTTTTTAAGAAACATTTTCTTATAATGGTGAAAAAGCCATGGAGAAAAATCTTGTACGAAGAACAAAATCACCCAGATAATTATGTTGACGAGTCTTTCCTGTATGAACTGAAAAAAAATGGTAAATATTTGAGTGAAATCTAGGAATGGTAAAAGATCGATAATTATGCCTACGATTTGAGTTGGATGCGTATAACAAAGTATATTTTTTAGTATACACGAGAAACTATCATTTCTGGATTGTCTCCAATGAAGCTGGAAGAGTTTCACAACAATTTAGCAGGTTAAAATCAGGCTTTCTTTGACTATCATCCTGTTCGTCAATTCAATTTTTGGGAACTGGTTGTTTGTTTACGACAGTGTCATATATTTTGTAAAATTGATCATACTGACTTCGTCGTGACTGCTGTGTAAGATGGTCTTACTAGAAAAAATCTGAGCGTATTTTACCATATCGAAAGAGGATCTTCAAAAAATTATGTTAACTATAGGTATTTGGTTATGCCTTCGAATGGTACGCAGTACTTTTACTTTTTACTATAGTATGTTTTCCCTTTAATACTTTCTACATTTAATTCACATTATTTACAGTTTTACTCAAGCCTAAAATCAAAATTTCAGCATTAATGTATACGATTTGAAAGCATTTGCTGACTTAAAGCAAAGGATACGCAATATTTATTATTGCATATGTGTTTTTTACAAGTTTGACAACATAATAAGCTCTAAGCTTCTTTTTACCATACGATAAAAATATGCCAAAGTCTCTGAATCACCATGATTCGTAGGTACTCTTCACTATCTTTGGATATCTGACAAATTGTTGATCTCGTCTAAAGATTTTTGACTATTGCTAGTACTATCACACATGCTTGAACCGTTATTATCAGTTGCACAAAGTTAGAAAATGATGCACCAGAAACAAGTGGAGAGATTACGGTTTTTGATAGAATATTTAAGAAAAGTGACACGTACACAGCATTAGTTTGTTGTTTCATAGCTATTTACCGTTAAGATCAGGGTATTCAATAACAGCTTCGCTTTTCTTTCCCCTGCCTTCTTCAAGTTTTACAGGATGTGCACTGTCCAGAAAATGTTTGCAACAGCAATATACAGAATTCAAAACATACATGCATTGAGTACAATAAATGAAGAGGAGAACTAGAGTGAAAATAACAAATATAGTGTCATGGACCCCTAATTTATAGCTTGGCTATCAAAAATGAAAACTCATTTCTGTGTCTTACTTGCAAAATGTTTCTTTAGAACAGGTCTTGTTTTCCAGTCACTCAATCTTATGGTTCTGTGAACTAGAACAGGCAGTTCCTTAAAAAGTTGAAGAAAATACTCTTCATAGTTTCCATGACAGTTGTGGACGAGGGTTATCATGCCAATGCTGGCGAACGTTTCGTAAAAATCTTAGGCAACCTAACCATGTAGAGTCGGATACTTTATTGAAATGTTTAAAGCCTTCATGATCGATACGGTACATCAATCTATTGAAAGATTCAACTGCTCACAAACATCTGAGGTAAGAGAATGTCGAGATGATGTCTTTATTTCTGGTTCATTTCCAACATCACATAGCAAATCAAAATTCACCTCATCGGTTTGTAGATAAGGGTGTTTTAACGCTTCGTTGGCCGATGGTCTGTCTTCCGGTGCGACACGTATGTTGTATGCAACGTAGAAAACATTTCCAAGCTCATCAACTTAGCTCTTACGCTAAGAAATGAATTTTATAAGTGAGAATAGTGAACGTTCTTTTTCGTACAATTGTAAAATTATCATCATGAGGTGAAAAATCGTTGCATTCATTGAGGTTACATAAGTGCAATTGTTTTGTATTTATTTAGCACAAGTAAAATGATGAACTTAGGTACACAAACTTTGTCCAAATTAGTATACCGCAAATACAGCATAACCATAATATGAGTTTCTACGCAGCTGTATACATTTTCATTTTTACTATTGTAAAAACTTTAGGTCAGCCTTGTAACTTTAATTTTGCACTTTATGATATAGGACTGATGATACAGTATGTACTGTCCTGTACAAACATCATCAGCGCTATACATAAATTTCGTCATCGGTGCCTAAAAATCGTAATGCCTATATTATAATTGTTACGTGTAAAGAAATACAAATACTGTACTTTACAACCAATCATTTAGCTTTATACAAGACAGTTTAACTGTGCTCACAAGGGAAAATCTAACTGCAGAAAAATTAATACACATGTATATAACCTCAGGTATCATAACTTTGCATATATACATATATAATAATAGAAAGAAAAGTGCAAAATCTATCAATTAATTATATTTCAGTGGCACAAATGTACATTTACATCATTGCTTCCTACATAGTCATAGTGATTAACTGATTAGCAACCCATGCAAAAACAACCACTAACAGTCATCATTAATCATTATTCAGTATTATTATACCTGCAACCTGCAAAACGTCGTGGCTTCAGTAGTTTTGTTTCAAAACAACTCATAACCGCATTGTAGTAAAATGTCATTATTGGTAATGATGAATAAACTTTGGTAGTGAATCAAACCAGATGAGAATATATCAAAATATATCCAATAAATCGTCAACACAAAACAATTGTTTTCAGCATGCAAGTACAATAAAAATACTATCTACTTTATTACACCGTTCCATTATTTTATTTATAAATAATTCTTATCAACATATATAAGGATATTGCATGACCAGTTTGCA